ATATAATAACAGTAAAGGGCAAAAAAATATAAAAACAGGGCAAGGATATATAAGAACAGGGCAGAAATATATAATAACATGGAAATAAATCATAATAACGGGGGGAAAAAATATAGTAGCAGGGCAAGGATATATAATTTCAGGCCATGGATATTTAATAGCCAGGAAAGTGTATATAAATTAAGAGCAAGGACATATAAATTAAGAGCAAGAATATATAATAATGGACCATGGGTATAGTATAACAGGGTAATTGTATATAATATAAAGACACGGATATATATTAACAGGATAATGATATATCATAACAGGCCAAGGTTATATAATAACCGGGCAACGACATATAAGAACAGTTCATGGAGTATAACAGGGTTATTGTATATAATATAAAGACACGGATATATATTAACAGGATAATGATATATCATAACAGGCCAAGGCTATATAATAACCGGGCAACGACATATAAGAACAGTTCATGGAGTATAACAGGGTTATTGTATATAATATAAAGACACGGATATATATTAACAGGATAATGATATATCATAACAGGGAAAGGGTATATACTATCAGGGGAAAGATATATAATAACAGGGGAAGGCTATATCATAACAGGGCAAGGGTGTATACTATCAGGGGAAAGATATATAATAACAGGGGAAGGCTATATCATAACAGGGCAAGGGTGTATACTATCAGGGGAAAGATATATAATAACAGGGGAAGGCTATATCATAACAGGGCAAGGGTGTATACTATCAGGGGAAAGATATATAATAACAGGGTAAGGCTATATCATAACAGGGCAAGGGTATATAATAACAGGGCAAGGATATATAATAACAGGGCAAATATATATAATAACAGGGCATGGGTATATAATAACAGGGCAAGGATATATCATAACAGGGCAAGGGTATATACTATCAGGGGAAAGATATATAATAACAGGGTAAGGCTATATCATAACAGGGCAAGGGTATATAATATCAGGGCAAGGATATATAGAGAATAATACATGCCTTGGGCTGATATTGGTCGCGGGTTGATACTGGGTGTGATATGGAAAAAGGCGTGTTTTATTCTGTTTATTACATGCTTGCTAATAAAAACTTCTATCTTATGATTTTTTTATTTTTTTTTGAAATATTGAAAAACGAGTTTTTTTCCAAAAGGGGTGTGATATGGGTTTTGCGGGCTGATACGGGTTTTGGGGTGTGATACGGCGGGGACTGATACGGGTTTTGGGGTGTAATACGGCGAGGGCTGATATGGGTTAGAGCAATTGTGTCGTATCGCATATACAAAAAACCCGTATTTATTAGTAGGTATGTAAAACAGAATTATAAGGCAGGACCACATAATAACGGAGCAAGGATATATAATAATGGACCATGGGTATAGTATAACAGGGTAATTGTATATAATATAAGGACACGGATATATATTAACAGGATAATGATATATCATAACAGGCCAAGGTTATATAATAACCGGGCAACGACATATAATAACAGTTCATGGATGTAAAAATCAGGACAATGATATATAATAAAAGGACTAAAACATATAATAACAGGCCAATGGCCAGGGCACGGGTATTTGATAACGTGACAAGGATATATAATAACAGTCCAAATATATTTTACAACAAGGAAAGGCAATATAATAACACGGCAATGGCATATAATAACAGGGCAACGATATATAATAACAGGGCAAAGGTATATAATAACAGGACAAAGATAAATAACAGCAATGCAATGATATATAATAACAGGGCAACGATATAAAATAACAGGGAAAGGTTATATAATAGCAGGGCAAGGTTAAATAATAACAGGGCAATGGGATATAATAACAGGGCAAGGATATAATAACAGGGCAAGGATATATAAGAACAGGGCAGAAATATATAATAACATGGAAATAATTCATAATAACGGGGGGAAAAAATATAGTAGCAGGGCAAGGATATACAATAACAGGGAAAGGGTATATAATAACAGATCAAGGATATATAATAACAGGACAAGGGTTTATAATAACAGGGCAAGAGTATAAAATAACAGTCCAAGGGTATATATTATCAGGGCAAGGATATATAATAACAGGGCACGTGTATATAATATCATGGCAAGGAAATATAATAACAGGGCAAGGGTATATTATAACAGGGCAAGATTATATAATAACAAGGCAGGACTATATAATAACAGGGCAAGGATATATAATGATGAACCATGGGTATATAATAACAAGTCTTGGAAATATAATAACAGAGCACGGGTATTTGATGACGTGACAAGCATATATATTAACAAGACGAATTTATTTTATAACAGGGAAAGGCAATATAATAACACGGCAATGGTATATAATAACAGGGCAAGGGTATATAATAGCTGTATAAGGTTATATAATAACAGTGCAGAGGTATATTATAACGGGGCAAGTGTATATAATAACAAGACATGGATACATAAAAGCAGGGCAAGGGTATTTGATAACGTGACAAGTATATAAGATAACAGGTCAAATATATTTAATAACAAGGAAAGGCAATATCATAACATGACAATGGTATATTATAACAGGGCAAGGGAATACATTTATTATAACAAGACATGGATATAACATAACATAGCACGGGTATTGGATAACGGGACAAGGATATATAATTACAGGTCGAATATATTTAATAACAAGGAAAGGCAATATAATAACATGGCAATGGTATATAATAACAGGGCAAGGGTATATAACAACAAGACATGGATATATAATAACATGGCACGAGTATTTGAAAACGTGACAAGGATATATAATAACAGGTCAAGTATATTTAATAACAAGGAAAGGCAATATAATAACAGAGCAACGATATATAATAACAGGGCAAAGATAAATAACAACAAAGAAATGATATATAATAACAGGGCAAGGATATACAATAACAGGGCAAGGGTATATAATAGCAGGGCAAGGATATATAATAACAGGGCAAATATATATAATAACAGGGCATGGGTATATAATAACAGGGCAAGGATATATCATAACAGGGCAAAGATAAATAACAACAAAGAAATGATATATAATAACAGGGCAAGGATATACAATAACAGGGCAAGGGTATATACTATCAGGGGAAAGATATATAATAACAGGGCAAGTGTATATAATAACAAGACATGGATATATAATAGCAGGGCAAGGGTATTTGATAACGTGACAAGGATATATAATAACAGGTCAAATATATCTAATAACAAGGAAAGGCGATATAATAACATGGAAATGGTATATAAAAACAGGGCAACGATATATAATAACAGGGCAAGGGTATATAATAACAGTGCAGAGGTATATTAATACAGGGCAAGTATGTATAATAAAAAAAAGACATGCATATAAATTATCAGGGCAAGGGTATATAATAACAGGGCAAGGATATATATTAACAGGGCAAAGATAAATAACAGTAATGCAATGATATATACTAACAAAGCATATGTATATAACATCAGGGCAAAGTTATATATAATAGGGCAAGGATATATAATAACAGGGCAAGGGTATATAATAACAGGGAAAATATATACTATCAGTCCATGGGTATAATACAGGGAAAATGTATATAAGATAAGAGTAAGGACATATAATAACAGGGCAAGGATATATAATAACAGGACAAAGATACATAATAAAAGGGCAAGAACATATAATACCGGGGCATGAAAATACAAAAACAGGACAAGGATATATAATAAAAGGACAGAAATATATAATAACAGGCCATTTGTTCATGATAACAGAGTATGTATATATATGTTCAGGGCAAGGGTATATAATAACAGGCCAGGGGTATATAATAACAGGGCAAGGGTATATAATAGCAGGGCAAGGTTAAATAATAACCGGGCAATGCTCGCAAAGTACACTGAATTTTTATCTAAATTTAATTGACTTTTAATATGAGCATCGTATAGCCCAAAATATCAATTAAATATTTATACATGTTTATAAATGGAACATACCTGGTTATCTCCGCTATATCATTTACTTATTAATCGTTTCATTAGTGGTTTTGTCAAGTCACATAATGAGCGTACTTATGTAGGTCTAGCCTGCTGTTCGATTCTATTGTTAACTCAATAAAATATGATAAAATTGAAAACACCTCTGACTGATCATATGATTTGTGCAGATGTTTGCGTGCAAATCACTCGGTAACATAAAGATGTAAACAATAAATAACAATCTCAACGGACCGACCTGTCTCCCACAAGTTCGGCACTGTACGAATATCAATTTCCTTTATAAAACGCAAATTCAAAGCTGTATACAGTAAACAGTTGTATATAGTTTTGTTTTTTAAGATCAAATCGAGTTTTACAAACAAAATAGAAATACATGCAAATGTAAAGATAGAAAAAAGAGTAAATACCTTCAATGTCAGAAACGGAATCATCTTGACTTTGGAAATTGTTATCACAAGATAAAATGTTAGTTTACCTTCAAATCTGTCAGGACGAAATATTTTACGTTATTATGACACTTGTACGCTTTCTGATATTTAATGTCATTGCGTCGTTTGACGTATTTACTTTTTGTTTCTTTTCATAAACTCCTGCATGTTTTCACAGAATTCTGTCGCTAAATCAAAGTTTTTCAGAGAAAAAAAATCTTAACAACTTAAGTACAAGAAGCGGCAAAAAATATACTTTAAAAAAAAAAGCAAAGCACCCATATCGAATTAACTCATAGTATTACAATATTAATTTTAATTCAGCATAATGGCTTATTCGTTTCACAAAAAATCACCACAAACATTGCTTTGACGAAATCTGTTTTAGGGTCTCCTGTTACTTACACTGATGTAAATAAAACATAAATTGTTTAATAGGACATTAAAAATAAATTTGTTCCAATTTTCTAAATGATAAGCATTATGATTTTTAACAAAGAACTATATTTAAAATGACGATACTTACCCATAGCAAACACTGAAGCTGAATCCAGCTATAGCCAGGATGATAAGTGTTATCTCCATGGTCGGCTGTAGACCCCGCAGTAACTCGAATACCACCGCACGCCACTTATATACCTGAAAGGGAATCTCATATCTTCCTGGTCTGTTAATATTTAATGTAGTTATTTGCATGAACGTAAATACTTCCTCGTTGATAAGCGCTAACTATATCAAAATATATAACAGCACTTGTGTTAACAATCATGACTTCGGCAAACTTTTAAAATAAATGATATGTATATGTCGAATTGTCATTACGGAATTTAGTTATACCTCTCTGCATACATGCTATTATTCGTTACTTAGACATAATAAGTGTTTTTTTATTTTTTGTTTTTTTTTAAAGAAGACGAGACAGACATTAAAGTGTTCGATTTCGGGCAATGGGTACAAGGTGACAGATAGTGGCCTTTCGAGCCCTTTATCTAGTATTTGTTTATTTTAAACGGATTAAACTTACGTCTGAAAGGTGGTCATTATTGTAGCTGGCCCTGTTTAATTCAACCAGCTATCAGTCAACAGCTCGCAGCCGCAAAAAATGTCCGAACCGTTCGAAATCCCCCGTACTCACTAACGACGCAATAGACCGGAAATACCCAGGACTAACAAAAACGAAAGAATTATGGATGACAACCGTCGGCGAAAAGTTGGCCATCTGCAATATTCTCAACTCTTTGGGGTGAGTTATGACCTGATTTACAGGTAGGTGTTTTCGCTGACTTGTTCAACTTTTCATAGGTTGTTGTAATATAATTGCAATATTATTTGGATGATCATTCCTTAGTCTTTAATGCGTTCCTTCCTTTGGTTCGATGACCCTCAAATTAGGATGGCCTGCTGTTCGTATCAATTCTCCGTAATAGTGATTCCCTTGCCTTTTGACTTTGTAGTCTATATTTCCCAATTATTTGGACAGAAAATCAATCATGATAAAAGTCATCCTGAGCGTTCCTTTAAAATCGTCTGGAGAACTGTTACATATATATGAGTACTTAATGACATTTCCGAGATATCAACGTCTTGTGCTGATGACCATGATCAAATCAAAACCATATAATACACATGAATACATGTACATGTATCTGTTACATATGGAAGGCCGTTGTCGCGCAATGCTAAATGCGAAATGCTTTTCGCATAATGTTAAATTCGTTTTGCATTTTGCTTTAAGCATTGCGCGACGGCCTTCCATTGTAACACCGTAATTGAAATACAACACTTACAATAAAATACTCGGAAAGGAAATATGGCGGATATGGGTTGGCCATACATATGACCCATGCACAGCTAGCTTGTTATAAAATTTCAATTTAATTTTAATTTCAATGAAATTTTCGAACGTAAGAAAAAGAAAAAAATATATTTGTCGTATGTAACAGAAGATATTTCATTTCATTTCATTTCAAAATATTTTATTAAATCAAATGATTCAATGGGAATTGGGCAACAGGCTATACCTATACAAGCCCTCTCCCTTGGATTACTTACATTTCAAACAATAACATAATTATGATTTAGACATAAACATATTAGCACTGGCTTGGAACATTAAATAGTACTTAATACTTAATACTTAATAGTCTTTATCTATCTCTGAACTAAGCAAAATTAAATTAAAAAAAAATTAAAAATACTAAGGTAAAACAAATACAGCTGATGTTTTTTTTCTATACATAGTAACCAGTATATATAAAATATATTTCAAAATGGAAACCCATGTGTGTATACTGCATTTGAAAATAATCAAATTTTATAAATTTTACAAAATGTATTAATATCAAAAACTGGAACCTTCATTCAATACAGTAAATATTAAATAGCATTAGTTGAATAATTTGTAACACCAACTAGTCCTCCATCAACGCTCCTACTCCAGATAACAATTATAACTGGGCAGCACTAACATATCCATACACACAACCACTGTGTGCCTACCCAGTCATTGACAACCCAGAGCAGGATCCGTGTTGAAGGAGTATTCATATAGACATGTATACATACACATTGGGACTAGAATTAACAGTTATTTCAAAATCTGTTAGTAGACAATATATTTCTGAACACAGACACAAATAGCAGAATTAGGATCATGACTAAATGGTTACTTCCCCTAGTTAGTATATTGATATTATTTACTAAATGTTCAATCAGGTTTAAGTCGAGATTTAAATGTAGGTTTAATTGAATGTTAAGCTGCAAATGAGACAGAGAGTCTAATAGGTTTTGTCTTTAGAGTATTTTATACCTAGGGTAGTATAGAAAGAAGTGATCCACATCTTCGTCATGGTTGCCACATATACAGGATGGGCTATTAGTAAGGTGGTCTCTAAAAAGATCAGAATTTAATTGACTTGCATGGTTTCTAAGTTGACATAAAATGACGTTAAAAGATCTAGTCCCTCCATATTTAAAAGCATGTGTACATGTTTCCTCAGCATTAGGAAGATGGCATGATGAACGAGTTGCTTTTTAAGTGCAGTTACCGACCTCAAATTATAATAATTACAATCGGATCTATTCCACTGAGACATCATACTAGGAAAGAAACTGTTAAAATATATACTAGTTCTGCAAATGGGTGTTTGAAATATACGTTGATGTCGAATATCATGAGTCACTAAGTCATTGTTTATAATATAAGGTTCAATGTTTTCAAACAGATAATTAGGGGTATGACGGTTTGTTATTTAAAAAAAATAGCATATTTTGCTGGTCATTTCTGCGTTTCTTAAGTGTATCCCATCCTAGTTCATTATAAATGACAGCATGACTAGTACCCCTACGTAATCCAGTAACTATTCTAGCAGCAATCAGCTGGATGGATTCAAGAAGATCGGATTCTGACTGATTACAATTATTCCACAAAACACTTACTCAAGGTTTGGACGAATATAAGATTTGTATATTATTTCTAAAGATTTCCTGTCGAGTCTATACTTTAGTGATCTGAACAGATTCCCTTTTTTACAAAAGATACACAAGTATAAATACCTAAACTAAACGGGAAACAAACATAAGCGTTTCCCGCACTGCATGTAACGTGGCAGACATCAGGCGGTATGTCATGTAATCGCTTACTGTGATACGTTATCAGCTGTGAAAGACAAACTTGTGTAAAACATTACATAATGTCTCATCTGTGTCAGTGGAGTGTTAAATATTTAAATGTATTAAAGAATATGGATTATACTTAGTAATGAGGAATTTTCCTCCAGTTTAACTTTCGACCAAATATAACGTTTCCGCCAAGCGTTGAATGTATGGCACGCTGAGTACCAATGTTTCCTGTAACGATATATTCAAGCTCATTATAAACAGCAACCCACCGAGGCAAACATTTCCTGGTGTACATTAGCTTTTCCAAACCAATATTAGCAAATGCATATTTTTCAAATTGTAAAGGATATCGAAAGGCAGTTTAGAAAAATATTCATGCTTCATCTTTTGTTACTGTCACTTTATAAAAGTTTTAATCGGACCTGTCTTCTCTCTCATGTACAAGATGCATGCAGAAGAAAAGGGAGAGGCATACAAACAGCCCTTTCTGCATCTATCCATTAGAAACATTCATGCTATGTTATCTTTTGATTATATTATGCAAAACAACAAGGAGATTTTCTAAAATTGTGAATCAACAAAATGCCCCTAAATATCCAAGTCAAGCTTTTGAATTGATATGCATATGACTTTTCAATAACAATTTATAAGACTCTCCAGTTTTAATAACAGAGAAATTGAACAGGTAGAATCAGAATTTCTTTTTAATGGAGTACAATTTATATGCTTGTGCATGTACAATTTTAATCCTATTATTGATGAAACGCAAGAAAATAAGAATTTTTGAAATGACGGTCGGTTTCGCATCTAAATAAGATTATACTTCGTTTGAGTTAGGATTGAAACTCGTTTTGAACAGATAAAAATATGTCGATGAGATTAGAGTAAGCGTTTTAATATCGTTTTTGTTTTTCTATATTATATTGGAAAACTGTTCAGCGTTTGCTAGAGAGTATGCCATGCGGTTCCACCACAAACGCCCAACCCTAGTTGTCCAACCGTTAATAATGACTATACAGTTGTTAGCTTTGTACAATGTTTGCTGTCACGTTGTCACAGCCAGCCTACCTCTGTTTGTCAAAGTGACGTCGTGTTTATGTCCTATATATTACACGTGTCATATACAAGGTATTTATATTTGTTAGCTGTTGAAATGTTTTCTGACATATAAAATGTTTAGGGAACTTTCCTACATTTAATAGGAAATTAATTGTTGTGTAGACTTGATCACTGATTATACAAGTTAGCTTTCCAAATAACCAGCATCACGTCGGTCATGGCGTGGTTTCTCTATCATTTAGGGATGTTGCGAGTGAGGGTTGATGTGATTGCGAGTTATATAAGTGTATATATAAAGGATGTCATATTAGTTCAATAACTTGTATGATGACGTTAGACACGTGAATAAAATCACGCAAGATGTGATCACCCTAACATAACGAATGATATCACAGCTATTTTAGTGTATAAGTGCGGGTCTCTTGCAAACAAGACATTTCTTAGTGTTGTTTTATTACCTGGTAAGGTTTGAATTACATAATACATATTTATAACCTAACTTCCGGGGAGTTTTGTATATAACGATAGAAGAACACAAATGCCTTGGTTGTATTGTTGTCGGAATAAAATAGGTATTTGCAAGATGGTGACTTGGTAGGAGGCGAATTTGGTTTTCGAGCATTAAGTATAAGATATACTAAATTGTTCCTGGTAGAGGACAGACAGATAATCCGGAGATCCCCATACCACTCTACCCATACTATTTATATGACGATAACACTAATCGCCTCTGTGACCAACTCCATGTTTTGTTATCGACAGTTGTGGGGCAATCAAACATTCCTAATGGGTGACATAGGGGATTTACCTTCAGTAACCTTTAATGTGTTTTGTAGATAACGCCTCGTCTTATCATTATCACCTTGGTTAGACAAAGATCGATTGTACTGTTGACATGATATACGTGTCCCTTATGTTTGCAAACTGATAAAAAACTTATTTACTCACAAATATATAGCATACATATAAATCAGTTCAAATATGGTAATAAGAACAAAATAGAGATAACGTAAGCCTAAAATCGGAATAATATTTTATTCCTAAGTTATTTATTCATCAATGTCAACAAGGATCGCTATCGAACATCTTCGTTTTCGTACACTTTGTGGACACTCTGCAACCTGCAATGTTGTGCGATTCTACAATTTCAAGGTAATTGTTTCGATTAAGTTAGCTGTTGCTGCCTATTTGTACAAACTTTAACGTGTTAAGAGCATCATTGTCATATTATAAGGTTTCTACATATATTTTGATAAGTCGTAAATGGACAAAACGGTCATACGGTGCTGTATGATATTTTCTTTTTCTGCGTTTCTGCGTCGCCTTTTGGTTTCGATTCATGATATTCTTCCTTATCAGGATTTCTAGCGATTATTTTATGATAGTTTCAGTTTCTTATGTATAAGCACCTAAATCCACGATGAATGTGAAAAGTCTTTCTTAAGACATTTTGTAGCTATCACTTCCATTCATGTTGGCTTGTAATACAAGACAAAGTTATGAAGAAAAACTGGAAACTCTATTCTGCATTCTGAAAATTAAGCTGGTAAACATGAAGGCTTCCACATATTGTCATTACATTTCTTTTCAATTCATGAAAACTTTGGATGTTGTTATTTTAGCATCACGAAAAAGTCACAACAATCATAGCAAATATCAAAATTGAAGATCTAACCCGTCTATTTGAACCTAACCAACGTTAAATAAACAATTTGCGCAACCCCAAGTCAATAGAATCCGGTCGATTTTTCCCATCGTGCATTCCCTTCCCGTGATTAAAGTCCGATTTGTCTGCCTTTTGTTGGTCAAGTTTTATTTTCTTCTTCCTTGTCTAGAGCCAAGATTTTTGTATAAGTTACTTTAGTGAAGTGTGCAAATAAAAGTCTTGATTGATTATTCCTTTCTTCTTTTTTATTATGTTTGCTTGATAATTACATGTCCTAGTTAGCCTTAATATCTTCCTGTATACTGTTTCCACCAAATTTACAACATCACAAGCAGAATATTTTACGCGTGAACTATGAAAACAGTATTGAACTGATGTGTGTGTGGGGGGGGGNGTATAGTTTCTTTACAAAAGTGATCAAACGGAACCATCGGTTTAAGTATTAATTTGAACTGAACACAAGATACTATAACTTGACTATAATCATCATCGTAACCACGTCATATACGTTCTGGCAGTTAAGGTTAAAAACACCTTAAAGATGCTATATTCACCCTCAATTTCAGCTATTAGAATTGTATATAGCGACGTTAAATCAGTCAATATGGCATCAGTGCTGATAGCTTCTTAAAAACGTGTTAACTGGACTTAAAACATGTCAGTCTCGTTTACGACCGAACTGATTGCTACGACATAACTTATTACATGAACTTCATTTATATACCTAGGTCATGCAAAGCTCACGTTCTCTATAACTTGCTACATAGGGGTATATAAGCTTCAAACCAAACTGATAATAGCTATGGTAATATAAAAGGGTCATGTACACTGTCCGAATAACATATTTTGCCGGTATATGTATACTAAAGGCATTGTGTCCATAATGAATAAGTCAACTTTTTATAAATTGTCCTTTCTCAACACTCAATGTTGCTATTAAAAAGCATTTACAAAACATTACAACACTTTTCATTTGCAATGGTTATGACTTGTCTTGCGGATGTATAACATCACAGAGAGTTATAAAGCGTTTACGCTAGCACTGACCTTTTCTTAAAAAACTTTGAATCAAAAGCAATATTAGTAGGTAAGTAATGTCAAGCATAATGGAGACACGTTCATGAATGAAGCTTCAAGTTACAAATCAACAAATGCATTTCCCTGATACAAAGTGTATTCTTGACATGTCCTAATTCGGAAATAGAGATATTGTTAGCTCTGCTTGCAACGTCCTCATATGACCCTAACAGTTGCGAGAAGGCTTAATCCCAAACAACAACAAAAATCATGTGTTTCTAAACCCATGTAGTATGGTAGCGATATTCTGATGGCACGTTTACAGAGACCATTTGCTATGTATACTCCACAAAAAGAAACGTTCCTTGCTTCTCTTTCTTGACTTACTTTGGACATTAACTTTGACACAAGTATTGCGTACACCTTTTCTTCGAGTGACACAACTGATATGTCAGAGAATAGTTTGTCAGATGTGACATTGACGTCCTTAATCTGTCAATCATTTGTCACTAACGAGGCTATATATATAGGTGGAAAAGTCGTTTGAAATCAAAGAAAGAACTTCAAACAGTTTAAACCCATCTGTAACATGTTCAGGTTGTGTGGTTATATGAATATAACTCCTTATCCGCCCCACCCATCCTTTCTTTTGTGCCACAAACAGGGTCAAGTGACTCTGTTTATGTCTTAAATATATACCACAGCTGTTGTAAAATGAAAACTTGTTTGACAACAACACTCGAATTAAAATATTATTCACATTTAATTTGAATCATATATATCATCCCACACATCATATGCAAATCAATGTATTCCTAAATATGCAAACATTTATAAAAGTATACCTTCAGTAAACGTTTTTTTAATTTCATTGTTTTTTATGTTTTTAAAAAACACCGAATTTGCACTTTAAGAAACTGTCATGCGGTGAAATAGAGAACGTGAACAGCTTAGCTGTATTCAGGATGTATAGGGTAGGAAGGCAGCCAATCATGTTCTTATTATACGTACCACACATCGAAAAGTACTTGCATCATATTAATATTAAAAAAGGGTTTTCATCAATGATATCTAGTATTGATATCAAAATGTGTTCACAAATACATTAGGAGTCACTTAAAAGTTTGCTTTAAAAAGACCAATGACGGGATTCCTTGGTAGACTTGTTTACAGCGGCCATTTGAAGTACTGTTGTAGTGTGGTCAGATCATAGGATCGCATGTTTTAATGCTGACAGTATTAGTCGCTGTGATGGCCTCTCGGAGTAAATGTAGTCTGTCCCTGTGGTCTCTTGTTTTAATGTTGATGATAATCAGACCCTGTGATGACAAGTGTAGCCGCAGTAGTCACTTGTTGTAGTCATAAAGTGGAGTGGCTATAATCTGTCCTTATATCTCCGTTCTGGTAATATAATGACCTATAAGTTTGTTTTAGTATGTCTCTGTGGTATCCGTCCTGGTGATGACCCTATGCAGTTGTTTTAGTCTGGGCTGGAGGTCTCCGTCTTGGTGATGACCTCGTGGAGTGGTTGTTGTCTGTCCCTGTGATTCTTGTGATGATCTTGTGAAGTACTTGAAGTATGTACATGTTGTCTCTTGTTTTAATGTTGACAAAAGTCAGTCCCTGTGATGACCTCGTGAAGTGGTTGTAGTCTGTACCTGTGGTCTCTGTCATGGTGATGGCTTTGTTAAGTTGTTGTTGTCTTTCCCGTTGGTTTCCGTCCTGGTGATGCCTTTATGAAGTTGTTTTAGTCTGACCTGATGGTCTCCGTCCTTGTGATGACCTCGTGGAGTGGTTGAAGTCTGTCCCTGTGGTCTCCGTCCTTGTGATTGCTTTGTTAAGTTGTTTTTGTCTTTCCCGTTGGTCTCCGTCCTGGTGATGACCTTATGCAGTTGTTTTAGTCTGGCCTGGTGGTCTCCGTCCTGAGGATGACCGCGTGGAGTGGTTGTTGTCAGTCCCTGTGATGACATTGTGGAGTGGTTGTAGTCTGTCCCTGTGATGACCTCGTTGAGTGGTTGTAGTCTGTCCCTGCGTTTTCTTGTTTGAATGTTGGCAAAGGTCAGTCCTTGAAATGACCTCGTGAAGTGGTTGAAAACTGTCCTTGTGGTTTCTTGTTTTGATGTTGACGATGCTCAATCCCCGTGGTCACTGCGTTGCGTAATAATAGTAGTCGTCCTGGCTCGAACTGAAGGTGCTGCTGATTTCCTGAACGATGGCGGAGAATTTTGGTCGTGACGACTGTTTATCCTGCCAGCATTTCTTCATTAACTCATAGTGCCTGTGTAAGACATACGCATACAGTAAAAGTATCTGCAGAGTTATGCCCCCTTCTGATTGATAGATTAAGCGATGATATAATTAAAAAAATAAGTATGTCAATAATTCTTCGCGTATTAAAAAAAGGGATAAATAACGACTGAAATGTTTTATACATTTTTGGAATGAGAAATATAATTATTGATATTTTTGTGCAGCATGCAAGATACATACTCCCTTTTAAATCTCTTTGTAGTAAATAATAAATATTAGAACATATATTCACAATTTACAATAAACATCACATAGTACATTATTTTTACATATTAGGTAAACAATATATACGCAATTTTCTAATCAAGTAATGAAACACGCCTTAAAACCGCCAAGGTACCGATTTGTAAAGTCCCTTCTTGTATGTTACCGCGATAAATGTTTAGGTAACATAGGTCACAAGAAACAAATAACTTACATGTCAGCGCAATATTCAGGGCGGCTCATACGGTATCCATTGGTAACATTGGTGGCCACGTCCATGCTCCGTATCCCGGGATACGGTGTGTCACCTGTCAGGTCAGCAGAATATGTTACACATGAATGAATGATAAAACACTTGCACGGCAAAATGTGTTTATTACTAGTACTGTATATCATATGTTTGAATCATTGTTAAATCGATAAAATACCTACCTATAATGCATATTAAAATTTTTAAAAAACATAACTCACAAAATTATGTTTCCAGCCTGAACTATTTGTATGTATCCAGAGGGACATTTCTACATATTTTAGGTATACCAATCTCCTACCTACCAAGACTGAATATTTCCCATAAGACGATTCCGTAGGACCATACATCACTCTGCATTGTAGCGTCCTTCAATGACGTCATACATTCTGGAGCCATCCATTTGATTGGTACTTTTTCCTACAATGTGAAGTAGAAGAGTTTACCTTCAACTAACCATTTAGCAAAGAGGCGATCATTAAGAGAGACTTTACCTTAAGACTCTATTTTGAATTTCCTGTTAAGCTTGCTCACTATGGTATGCAATGAATGTTGAAATTCTCTTTCCTACAAAGCCTTAAATAATGGCTAAGAATGTTCCTCTTTTTGTACGGCTTGACAGAAACATGCTGCAAACAGGTTGGACCTGATATCACCGTGAGGTGACAACACTGACCTTTCCAGTGTCACCGTCTTGTTGCTCGGTTTCCCTCGTAGGTCCAAACCCTGCGACTTTCGCTTCTAATGACGACGCCAGAAGAATATTTCTAGCAGCAAGGTGACGATGAATAATCTAGAAATGAAACAGTTGTCTTATTAACTGTTAAATGTATTTCTCCACGTCTACTATAATGATTACACTCCGTTAATATAGCAACATAGGTCACAAGAAACAAATAACTTACATGTCAGCGCAATATTCAGGGCGGCTCATACGGTATCCATTGGTAACATTGGTGATGAACTTATAAGGACTGGTAACAAACACATAGCCAAGTCCTTAGTGATGAACTTATCAGGACTGGTAACAAAAAACTAGCCAGGTCCTCATTGATGAGCTTATCAGGACTAATAACAAACACCTAACCAAGTCCTTATTGATGAGCTTATCAGGACTGGTAACACACGCCTAGACAGGTCCTTTCACAGTAATATGTATCGACGATGTGCTGTCTTTGAATATTAAGAAATGTATTGATCACATCGATTAAAGATACCATTACATCTTAGAAACATTGACACCACAGACCCGTCAACTTCAGCCGCTTTTCTCGAACTTTACTTTCAACATGACCAACAGGGACGGCCTACAACTAAGCTGTACGATAAAGAGGACTTTTCGTTGATAGCAACATATCTGCTTCCCCTACCAACAGCCATGTCAATCTTTTCTTTGTTCATATCTTGCCCTAGTTTGATCGATTTTGAGCTCGAGGTTTGGTTTTGTTGTCACTTCGGTATTCTCTTGTTTTTTTCTTTTACAATATATAGACATGATGAACATACTGAAAACACTATACATAATACATTTAAAAACAGTTATTGCATACTTTCATATATACATAGAGTACGTATGTACGTTTTTCTTTTTAAAAATCAAAGCATATCCCGAAATATCATCAAAACCAGAATTCGTACTTAAGATCGATAACGCCTGGATAAATGTTAGCTCGACGACAGGGATAATACAAGCAGACGATAACGCCTGGACAAATGTTCGCACAACGCTTTCATATATACATAGAGTACGTATGTACGTTTTTCTTTTTAAAAATCAAAGCATATCCCGAAATATCATCAAAACCAGAATTCGTCCTTAAGATCGATAACGCCTGGATAAATGTTAGCACGACGACAAGAATAATACAAGCAGACGATAACGCATGGACAAATGTTAGCACTACGTCAAGGAAAATACAAGCAGATGATAACGCCTGGGCCTAGACATATGTTAGCACGACGACAAGGACATTACAAGCAGATGATAACGCCTGGGCCTAGACATATGTTAGCACGACGACAAGGATAATGCAAGCAGATGTTAACGCCGGGACAAATGTTAGCACGACGACAAGTATAATACAAGCAGATGATAACACCTGGACATATGTTAGCACGACGACAAGGATATTACAAGCAGATCATAACGCCTGGACCTAGACATATGTTAGCACGACGACAAGGAGAATACAAGCAGATGATTCATCGATGAAATCAAATACGTAAATCTTTTTCTTAATGAAAACTGGGGTAGTATCAACAAGGATAATAAAAGCAGATGAAAACGCATGGACAAATGTTAGCACTACGTCAAGGAAAATACAAGCAGATGATAACGCATCGACAAATGTTAGCACGACGACGAGGATAATACAAGCAGATGATGATAGAGTACGTATGTACGTTTTTCTTTTTAAAAATCAAAGCATATCCCGAAATAACATCAAAACCAGAATTCGTACTTAAGATCGATAACGCCTGGATAAATGTTAGCACGACGACAAGAATAATACAAGCAGACGATAACGGCTGGGCAAATGGGAGCACGACGACAAGGATATTACAAGCAGATCATAACGCCTGGACCTAGACATATGTTAGCACGACGACAAGGAGAATACAAGCAGATGATAACGCATGGACAACTGTTAGCACGACGACAAGGATAAGACAAGCAGATGATAACGCCTGGACAAATGATAGCACGACGACAAGGATAATGCAAGCAGATGATAACGCCTGGATAAATGTTAGCTCGACGACAAGGATAATACAAGCAGACGATAACGCCTGGACAAATGTTAGCACAACGACAAGGATATTACAAGCAGATGATAAGGCCTGGACAAATGTTAGCACAACGACAAGGATATTACAAGCAGATGATAACCCCTGGACAAATGTTAGCACAACGACAAGGATATTACAAGCAGATCATAACGCCTGGACCTAGACATATGTTAGCACGACGACAAGGAGAATACAAGCAGATGATAACGCATCGACAAATGTTAGCACGACGACAAGTATAATACAAGCAGATGATAACGCATGGACAACTGTTAGCACGACGACAAGGATAATGCAAGCAGATGTTAACGCCGGGACAAATGTTAGCACGACGAAAAGGATAATACAAGCAGATGATATCGCCTGGACAAATGCTAGCACGACGACAAGGATAATGCAAGCAGATGATAACGCCTGGACATATGTTAGCATGACGACAAGGATATTACAAGCAGATGATAAGGCCTGGACAAATGTTAGCACAACGACAAGGATAATACAAGCAGACGATAACGGCTGGGCAAATGGGAGCACGACGACAAGGATATTACAAGCAGATGATAACCCCTGGACAAATGTTAGCACAACGACAAGGATAATACAAGCAGACGATAACGGCTGGGCAAATGGGAGCACGACGACAAGGATATTACAAGCAGATCATAACGCCTGGACCTAGACATATGTTAGCACGACGACAAGGACAATACAAGCAGATGATAACGCCGGGACAAAGGTTAGCACGACGACAAGGATAATAAAAGCAGATGAAAACGCATGGACAAATGTTAGCACTACGTCAAGGAAAATACAAGCAGATGATAACGCCTGGGCCTAGACATATGTTAGCACGACGACAAGGACAATACAAGCAGATGTTAACGCCGGGACAAATGTTAGCACGACGAAAAGGATAATACAAGCAGATGATTCATCGATGAAATCAAATACGTAAATCTTTGTCTCGACGACAAGGATAATACAAGCAGACGATAACGCCTGGACAAATGTTCGCACAACGCTTTCATATATACATAGAGTACGTATGTACGTTTTTCTTTTTAAAAATCAAAGCATATCCCGAAATATCATCAAAACCAGAATTCGTACTTAAGATCGATAACGCCTGGATAAATGTTAGCACGACGACAAGTATAATACAAGCAGATGATAACACCTGGACATATGTTAGCACGACGACAAGGATATTACAAGCAGATGATAAGGCCTGGACAAATGTTAGCACGACGACAAGGATAATACAAGCAGATGATTCATCGATGAAATCAAATACGTAAATCTTTGTCTTAATGAAAACTGGGGTAGTATCAATGAAACAAAACACACAAATTAGCATGATAAAAACCGCCAACTTTTACATTGTGGAAGGAAATTATTCGCAATTAGATCATTATTGTGGTCATAAATATTATTCACTATCTTCATAAACCCACATTTCTCGAACCATTGTGTGGTAATCCTGTCTTGCAGAGGTCCACATCTCTCATGGCGATCAAATGAGAACCCAAAATTACAAGATAGAAAAATTGAAGTTGTCACACTTATCACACAGCTTAGAAGTGAACCGTCCCTGTTGTTCATATTGTTAGTGAAGATCGATGAAAGCTTCTGAAGAAGAAGGATCTATAGTGTAAGTTTTCGTTCAGAAGATGTAACGCCGTTATCAAAAGACAGCCCATCGTTGATATATCTGAAAGTGAAATGAAAGGATTTGGCAACTACAATGAACCTTGTTGAAATGCTAAATTTAGGCGGGGAGGACGTAAGATGCAACACAATTTTGTTTTGTTTTATTGAATCAAGGGATACCTGTTTTGAGGCGAGGTAATCCATTCCTTTAGCGATGTCAAAGGTCATTCGAAATAAGGTGTCCACGACACTGTCCGTCATCATTGTTCGCCGATTCTGCAGCCACGTCCTCATCACACCTGCCTCACACAACTCCAACAGCATGAATGGACCAACTGAATAACAAAAACAAACCATTGGCTATACAGCTATACTATTAATGTTCGTTCATAACAAAATGTCACATGCTCAACATAACGACATATTTCGCTGAAATACTCGCTTACTATTTACTAAAATGCGACATTTGTTGTTTTGTACTGTACTTGTAGGGTATTTTTCACCCGTTGTCTTTTCTCATTGATGTATATGTCACAGTTGACCACGTCACAGGATTTTCGTAGCTTCACTCGAGTCTAAACTAGTTAAGCGTTGAAGGTTGATATAAACGATTTAAAACGCCAGATATTTGGAAGGCACATCCCACTGAAGTGATATAAGCGGTTTGTTACATGCCAAGACAAGTGCAATTATCATATACTACATGAAGTCTATATCCAACCTGCCAGCTGAGAAACCTTTATCCACTGTCGCCGTCATTTTTGTTATCCTGAATGATGACTGGGGTATCTTTGCGATAATTTATGCGTTTATGAATTATAAAGCGATATTTCGATATTAAAAGCGAAGATTTGAATACAATTAATGATAGAAATCAAATTATGTCACAGTTATGGTATTGTTCATCAGACTTAACAATCAAAGATATAATAGAAAATGGCCTTCTTAGATATCTCAGTAAAAGAGGGTTCGGTTAATGTAGATCGAATTGCAGGGCATAATTCTCAATATCACAAATGATAGAAATGTGTGTTTTATTGTTTCTGATGTGGTATTATCCCTGGTTGGTACATTGTACATGTAATAGGTCATGAGTACAGATCTCAGTTTACTAAAATCAGCCATCAATTGTAACTATCCATCGTATTACCCTCATGCACTCGACTTTCCCGATCGCATTTCCCTAATTCGAAGTCTCTTTTGAAATATAAGTCAGAGGCACAACATATACGTTCCGAGAGACTGAAGCAAACGCCGCCAATGGTGAAGATCCCTGATGACCTTCACCGATGTGCTATTGTTCTCGTTTAGGTATAGAAAAATATGTGATATTGTCCCTGCCGAAAGAAACACTATTAATATCATACAAAAATCGAGTCTCTTTATACACAGGCAATACATGTATCAATTTGTATACGGAGACGTGTCACACAAATATTGAAAACAATGTTCTAACGATAAAGGCTTCGAGAATGTTGGTAGCATTAGCACATTCGTGTCCTATGCTTTCTACACTTTTTAACGTTTTTTCGTAGCATTTTTCATTGATCTGAGGCATATCTCTCGCTATCCATACCAAGTATAAACTGGGGCAAAAACGTCCAAAATACACCGCACGTTGATATCATTTCTTCGTCAGATTAACTGACATTTGAAGATATTATTTTAACCAAAACATTTAAAATTATATTTTAAAAGTGTTTATGAGATAATAAAATGTACATTTCAATGTACGAAAGAGCAATATTAACTCCTATGTATAAATATCAGCGGATCATGATAGTGTAGATATTCGTATTTAGGCAATTTATTTCACGTAGGAATTTAATATTTTACTTTCTTTTTAAAATTTAATAATCGTGCAATTTCATCTTTGTTTCATATCTAGTTCAATATGTGTTTTCTATGCAGTTTCATGGATTTTCTTATGAAATAACAATATTCAAAATGGTAAATATAAATACGTACGTGGTTTGTTATCAAGGACAGCTCCAACGAATTCAATAACATTGGCATGGGAACCAGTCTTTGTTGCGAAGAAGTTTATCTTAGCATTCATTACCAATTCGTCTAGTTCGGTATGTGACTCTGGAACACAAACAACAATGAAATCAATATGCATTCAAGGTAAAAAGAAAACAACAAAAAAAGAAGTATTTTCCTCGGTAATATTGGAATGAACACTTACGTCATAGATTTCTTACCCTTTAACACTTTGGCAACGACGATCTTTCTGTTGTTCTTTTTGCAGTTTTGTGAAGCTTTGAAAACGTCAGCAAACCGCCCCGATGCCATCTTTTCAACTAGAGACACTTCACCATGATGAACCTCCCACGACTGGTTCTCATTAAAAACCATTTGACCATACAGATACACATCCTCATCACCGACATCCGAATAGGCCAGGTTCTGAACGGAGACAACATGAATGATTAGGTCCTTGTGAAATGTCATCAATGTTTGAGACGACAATAACATTGGAGATAAAAAAAGGAATGCCAATGTGTCAACAAAAACCGCAAACCGAATTCAAAATCGTTAAAACAAAATCAACTAGAGATAGAGAGATTAACATGAGTAGAGACCTTTGAAAATGTACAATAAGATCAGATATTACGGAAGGGCAAGCAAATTCTGCTTCAACGGATGTTGAACATAACAATATATAGCTATTTTCATATCATACAGTTACATAGAAAACTCAATCGGGACCATAATACATCTCCGACATCTTCATCAAACTGCTTTACTTTCGCTAAATGTCGAAATTTATCGCGTAGAACCTGCACTAGTAAGCATCACACTCAAGCTTGTCTCAATGTTAATCAGCCTTTGCTCCACCTACTGATAGATAAACGTCAAAAGCGAGGTATTGCTAAGCAAGGTATTAAGAAAATGACAACAAATATGCAGGAGAGAATTCGGTGTTGAAAAAGGCAGCAGATTATTTTAGTTGCTTTAGTATGAAAATAAATCGTATAATTAAAAGGTAAAAATAAGAATTCACTGTTAATAACATTATGTTCACGTTCGCGGTGTAAGCATCCTACTGAGTACAATTTGTGTAAGAAAACAAAATTATATTTCTTATAATGATACGTTGTAGAATTTTATCAGTTTAAAATATTTACCGCAAATGACTTTCGTTCTTGATGCCTGTTGACCTCTCCCGAGTTGTTGTAGGTGTTAGATCGCCGACGCCTGGTTATCCGCCGCTGTATTTGACCGTAGATTGACTCCTTGTAGCGATTGAGCTTGCCTGTCCTCCAGAGCACTATACCAGCTATTAGTAAGCCCACAAGGATCAGCATAACTGTGGAAATGTATTGAGACCTGATAGCACACTAATTTACAGATCGGCCCTGTTTAACATACACTATACACATACAAAACATACATTATCACGAAACAACAACAAAATATATTATAAACAGTAGAAAAAAGTCAAAGAATATAAGGCACCGACGAATTGATTCAAAGTCGCACTCATATATTACAGGAAACATAACAACCAAATGTGAAACAGGTTAAAAATAACACCGCACTGTGTATCATCCACTTACGTGACAACTTTAGGTCTTCGCTTAACATTGCTTCATCATAATTGACTAACTCACATTTAACACATTGTAAGGTGTTGTCTGCGTACGTAGTAACTAATGAATGCTCTCAACATGAAGGATAATTATTCAACCTGACGGATCAAAACACGTCCTAGTACTGAATATTATGGAACACTAATATTTATGTATTTGCGAGATTGTAAAACAACTAGAAAGAATGTTCTAAAAAACCGTGCGTCTAATAAAGGTTTTACGTAAATTGACAAAAACACTTCTTATTTACCCTGATCGATGTTTAGATTCCTCATATGCTAAACATATAAGTATAGTTTCCGTGAATATGTGATGTTAAACACATATAATGAATCCAGAAAAAGAGACTTTCGTGTGCGTGTGTTCTAATGTTTTTTATAACTACAGACATGATTTATTACTGCAGCCATATCCATTGATTAAAAAAGTCGCATTTTATGAACCAGTTTTTGATGTCCTCGTAAAATTTACACTCGTTAGAAAATTAATGATTAATTGACGCGCCTTCAATCTACATTAACTGCTACGGACTACTAGTCAAGCCAATGAGAGTGATTAAAAGCAAATGATAGAATGTCTTTCATAATTGTTGTAACACACACAGTAATTGGTTTTTTTATGTTTTATGACATGTGTTTGCCTGTCCAATTCTAAAATATTTGTTGAGAGTCTTCCGAATCATCAACGCTGTTGTAGAACTCAAGGACTGACTATGACACTTGTGTCACGTTATCTTTTATATTTTTAGTAGAAAATTGGAAAGTTTATGTACTTAATATGCCCAGGAACTAAATTAATCATCCAAAGTTGTCTCAGCAAATTTCAATCACGGAGATAAAAAAAAAAGGTTTGTTTATTGAATCCATTGTTTTTGTACGGCAATACTGTTTAGATAGGGCCCATTTTCCATCTACTCTTCAAACCAAATCAATATTAATGTAATCGGTAATTTCAAAGTGATTACCTGACTTTTGATGAAATAAGCATTTATTTATTTACTGAGTTAGATAACAGTTAACTAATATCAGGTCGGTGTTGCAGCTGGTGGACTATAAGTAAATTATTTATTGACCTTATTTGTAGAAGTTCCACTAACACATTTCGTCTATGACGTGTTATTACAGTAGCGTATTATCAACGATGACTCACTCTTCTTTATTGTTAAGAGATGGGAAATAAAATGTGACGTTGGTGACATAATATAATCGACACATGCACATGTGATATATTAAGATTAGCAATATATTTTTCTTGTTCACTTTAACACATACCTATAGTTATTCCAGCAATAGCACCAGCTGATAAACCTTCATATTCTCCTGAAAGTGATAAAAATATAATAAAAATGCTTACATTTAAAACAATTGAAATTGCAATTAAAAGAAATAGTATATTAAGCTTGCAAACATCATGCAAAAATGTTTCTATTTCTAGAATGAATTAAGATCTACCTGTAGTGAATGCGATTTTGACTGGGTCACTTTTCTCATCCCCGTACTCAACCACGAACTGGGCGGTGTACGTAGTTTCCGGATCCAGGTTACCCAGCGTGTAGTATTCCGAGTCCTTGTGTACGTGCATTGTCCGTGACTGTCCAGACACGTTATACATCAGTAGTATGTCTGTTCGATCGTAACAGCTCGGTCCCTGATGCCATTGGAAATTCGCACTATACGACGTTGTACCAGTAACCGCCAGATGCATTGGTCCAGAATCTAATTCATATAAATATATATACATAAAACGTGTATCCATTTCAATTTGAAAACAATTTTGATAATATAAACAGACAGCCTTGATCAGATTTACAGCATTTACTTAAGAAATAGAGCAGAGAGACTTACATTCTTCCATTCCACTCAAAGATCTCAAATCGTCTACCTTTAAAAGAAAAATTAGTCATCAGAAAATAAGTGTGCATTCATCTAGGATGAAATTGAATTCCAACACTGTTGTAACTTTCTTAATTCGATATTAATTATTGCCATTTCAAAATTTACAATTTTCTACCTGTATCAACACCTTTGTAATTATTTTAAAAGACAGCATGCTACGTGCATATCAGATACAATTCTACAGAAATTATTACCTGGAATCTCCCAAATGAACTTAACATTGCTGAATTAAAGACTTCGATGTCAATGTTTGTCACTTGTGTGGGAAGGTCATCTTTGGAAACCATGAACCAGCAGTTGTTCACCTCAAATTCATGATAAAAATAATAGCATTCCCCATCAGAGGTACACGCACCTTCTTGAAGACTGGGTTTTCTCTATTTAACAGAGAAAAACACAAACACTACCTTGAAATCAAATATAACAATTAAGCAAATTGATTTAATACATTGGTTGTGACGTTGTGGTACATGCAAATTGTGTCTTTATATATATTGTCTCTAAAATAAAGTGAAGCCAGGATAAATGTATTCATCTATACATTATATTTAACCAGTTATGTAAAACTTCTTAGTTTCCACTGCTGACTCTACGAAAAAAAACGTCTTTTTAAACTATATTGTTACCTGTATGTGTTGACATAAAGTTAAACTCAGTGAGCAACTACGGGTCGAGTGCTTTCATTGGTCAGTGTTTGTAAGTTCATGCTAGCTAAGTTTATCGTCTTCACATTTTCGTTAATGTTATAATTCATATTTGCCGAAAAAACATATTTTCAAGACAGATAATTCTACAAGGACGACATTACCGATTTTTCGAGTATTTAAATATGGCATCATGATTAGAATATTTAACCTTTTCTAAGTTACGTAATATGAAAACATAAAAAGCATTTGTTGTAGTGGACTTATGTAATATTTATCAGAGGAATGCGAAGCGTCATGTATATTTTAACAACATGAAAAGATGATTTGTTAATATTTAATATACTATTAATCCAGCAGTATTAGGTAAATGTGATAATTATTCAATAAGAAATGATGTGTCTGCTTTTAGATGTCCGATTTAAATTAGGGTAAATATAACTACACTGTATAACTTAGGTACTCATAATTGGCTTTGTGCTTCACTCAGGTACTTGTTGTCATGTGTTAATGGTAAAAGCGAATCCTTGCGTGAGCGTCGTTCGAACACGTACGTGTTGATTATATATAATGAATGTACTTGGCAAATATCTCGATAAAGTCGATCAAATCCTACAAGAAAGTCTAGCAAGTCAGACCATTTGCCTTGTTAATTTGCTTATCATTTGAGGCTGCCATTTTGGATTCAAAACTTGATCCGTTGAAGTTTAAGGACAAAATAAATCAATTCCAATCTGTAAAGTACGGTTTCAGCATATGCTTTTATATATTACTATATATTTTTACATTTTTCAATGTTTAGTTGTGCCATAGGCCGGTTTCCTGGCCTATGAATTTGCAAAGCCTTCTACAGTGCCAAAATAATAATAAAAAAAATGCCCCCACAACCACTACCACCACGAATTGAAGGAATCAAAGAACCATAGCGAATCACATCTAGAGAAGTGTGTCTAAAAGTTTTGACTGCTACACCACTGTTCCGTGGCTTTTTGCATGTTTGATTTGATGCTATGGTGTTCTAGGGTATTGACGCTATAGTATCTTTTACCATTGTTATTGCTTATTATTCTAACTGAAATTATTTGAGGATCTCATACTAGCAGGAGCCACTATTAACAACAAAATGCGTAAATGTGTAATGGGTTTTCAAAAGAATAATGAAAAACTTACTTTTGTGATATTTCCATGGTCACTTCCAGAGTGAAACACTTGATCCGACTGATTGGCAATTAATTTCCACTTGAATGTATGGATCCCACTATGTTTGTCAGATGCTAGAAACAAAACTCTGTAAAGGGAAAATGAAATATTTTAAAATTCTCCTCGAAATTAAGTGGTCTTTCTTACATATTTAACAATACCACAGATATGTGTTCATCCGACGTCTCAAATTGTACGAATGCACTACGCGAACGGATTTATTTCGCGATGGTTTTACCGCAATAGACGACGGACACATATTAGTAGCATTGTTATTTTTATTTCATACCTTCAATACTGTTGTTATTATATACATGTATGGATTTGCCCATTATTAACCCGTTTTAATATTCAGTTTTTTCTTCTCTTAAATTTGAACCGAAATAACGGTGAAAAAATGACGTTTTAAGGGGAGAAAAGGACGTAATGTACACAATAGTGTATAATGATACTTAGATGTTCGGAACACCTACTATTTTACTTCGTCCATTTGATCAGCGGATGACAACAGATCGTTTCTAACCTAAAAACAGTTCGGCTGCTGGTGAATTGCAACATGTTTTAATATCATAATGTGAGATACAGGACCGTGTAATGCATCGTCACAAAAGACAAATTGACAAGGCAAACATATTTAATTAAACAATTCATCGCATTCGATTACGCATGCTCGATATAAACATAATGACTAACACTAGTTTGAGAGATCTGATATTATATTATCGACTCTTGAATCGAGCTGCTCCTAGGAGTAAGCTTGGGCTAGAGCGTTCAAATCCTTATACAGTGACAGAGTAAGTGGTTTTATACCTAACTCACCTGCTTGAGAATGGATAAGACGCATTTTGTATGTTTTTGTGAAAAGCTGGCTGCTCGATTACGGGTGGTGACGAGTCAACATGGACCAGTATAGAGTCAGTGGCACTGTTGTTTACAACATCAAAAGTTCGTACCCAAATTCGTATGGAATCCCCGTCCTGTCTCGGGACGTTAATGGATGTTCGCTCGTTGTGATAGCTTGCTACGTTTCTCCACCCATGTGTAGGCGTTTGTGTTATAGTCGTTCCTCCGTCTTTGTCACGTTTGAAAGCAGTATCAGCACGTACGATACCGTGCACGTTGTCAACAGGTTGCATCCGGCGCAATCCTTCATTATCATCAAGACCTGGCTTTACGTTTCGTTGTCGAATTCCTCTATATTTTTCCGACTTGAACGGAGAAACTCGTGTAAGAAGTTTCAATCTCACATGCTCTTTGTTCACGAAGTGATCAGCCCACCCAATCTGAATAGGATGACCGAGAGAACTTTCGTTTTGTAAAGTTGATATCCATAAGTGTTCGATTCCTACAGACCCATATATATCCATGTTATTATCGTTGATAGAAATCTCAGAAGAATTGTCGTATAGCAAAAGTCGTCTGGCATACATTGTATTGTTCGCCTTATCAGCAACCTCTAATAGAATGGTATACATACCAATAGTGTCTGGGGTGTACATGGGAAACGTTTCGTTTGGTTTCACTTGTTTAGTATACAATGAAATGTTTATGTTTGGTTCGGTTAGCTCCCCTGTTCTGCTATCCGGACGTAGTCTATATACGTAAACCGAATACATGTCCACGCCGGAGAGATCGTCAATCCATCCACCCCATCTCAATGTAACTGGCATCTGTAATTGATATCAAGCTGAATCTCATAGTGTAATGCTACTGTTTTGCGCCGGTGTCCAAGTATCGCTATTGTTACAATTAATATATATTTCGTCGAAAACATCAGAATCAATCAAAGTGCATATTTTTTGTGATTTTAAGGATTCATCACTATCTGAAAGTTTCAAAGGCTCTGTACATAAACATTATGTACGTGACCTAAAATGGCACATGATAGTAAACTTACAGTTGTGGGATCGCACAAAATTACACGATGTGCGGTGTGCGCACGGTAAGTGAACGATGAGTGCACGATGTACGCACCATGTGTGAATGATAGGACTCTTTGAACACATAAAGTTGTTTTTGTAAATTGTCTTTCTATCTATAGATTTTTAAATTTAGAAATGGCGTTTTTGGTGTTTTTAAAATTAACCAAATCGACACATTGAACTTTCAACACATAAAGACACGGTCCCACATGTAGGTAAACATTGCCTATTTGTACATGTACCTCGATCGCAGTTTTCATTACCCAGGCACTAACGTAACTCGTCGAGGTGTGAAAATGAAGGCGAGGTGGAGATAATTATTATATGCAAATAACAAATACCTTACGACCATTTGTGTTTCATAAATGTCATACGGTATCACATATCAACTTTATGTGTCAGACACAGGCCAGGTAGAACTCCGGTCACTTATAATTTTGTCCCCTGTTCTGTTACCTGGGAGCCAAACTAATTCATGACAGTCTAATGGTCACTGTAATACTGTGTAACTCGCTTTGTAAAATGGAACACAATCTTAATAATTTTTATGAAAAAATGATATAAAGAGTGTACCTTTTTTCATACAAGCCTTCCGGATTAATGTTTCATTCCGTAATATTGATCAACCAATTGTGTCTAATCGCACATTTGTTCGGAGAGAAGCGCAAAACGGGGCGAACGATCGTTAAATCGCACGGTTGTGCGCACCATGTCTGAACGATGTGCAGACGGTGTGTGAACGATGTATGCACGATGTGCGCACACTAGTTGTGGTGCGTTGTGCGGTCACACAACTGTAACAAATTTGGTAACTGATAACAGCATACGGAGACATATTGTGTGTGGAAGTGAGCTGGTAAAATATTTTTAGAACGTTTTGTCAAAACATTTCCCAATAACTTCTTCGATACTTTTTTATGGTGGTTTTATTTAATCTATAATTATCTATTTTAAGATGAAATACAAGCTTATCAGAAATGATATAGTTGTTTTATCTGAAAATGATATTTAAGGAAACTACACGTGAGTACGATTTCTCCCTTTCTGCAAGTGATATATGCGTTTAGAAGTACTTTTACTTGCTTTCCTCCGATTAAAATGTCAATTCAGAACCAGATTAAACAAATATCCTTGTGTTGCGATTTTACCTTACTTATGTCATTAGAAAGATGAAGTGGGGGCTCATTAGCAGCACAGCTGCTGTTATCACTGCAATGTCTTGGAGGATGAAAGTCAAACATGAACTGCATTTGTTTCGTGGATATTATTCTTGTAAACTGCTGTGTCGATTGGTGATGATGGGTGTTTTCGTTTAAAATATGTCTGTATCCCCCATTCTTTGCAGCTGCGGTGACAGTTAAGCTAAAATAGAATATCACATGTTAATTACATTTGAAGCTCATTCGTTTTACAGCCTCAATTGAGTTAGGGTATTGTTCCGCCGAAGTATCCTGAGCTAGCGGGTGGGAAGCGTCTACACATGTACTACATATTAAGTAACGATATTTTGCAACACATTTGAACATATTCAATTTAACAAGAGAACGCAAATGGTGATAAGAAAAATAACAACTATTGTATGACATCTTCAAAATGGGTGTCAATTGCTCATTATGTTTCTGATATTTCTTGTTTTTCGTTTCCAAACAGTCAAAAGACTAAATATTTACCTTGGTTTAGTAAGAACATACATGATCATGAACGTTATAAATGTACATTAATAACATGAAACAAACAATGATTTTTTTACGATTTCTGAAGTCTCATTAGTGTACGTTTGGTTTCGAAATTGAAAGCTTTATCAGCTGGACGAAGAAATTAACATCAGTGAGTGCAATGTTTCTTAATGTCATCTTGGTATATTTTGTTCATCATGCCTTTTAAAGTAATACACTTACCGAACAGGAGTTAAATCTTAACATCAATAACCTATCATTAAAAGGGAGACAATAAATAATAGTGTTTGGAGTCGTGACCTGAATATCAAATACTTAAATGTTGGTCACATGATCATTGCTTGTTTTTCCGATATCATGGATGTAGTTATTTAGAATAATTATATGAGATATACAATTATCATACTTATCACCGTGTTCCAACAACCAGTCGAAATCTGTATCTGTGACGTTGCAAACCAGCCCCGCTTTTACGTTGGATGTATTTGGATATCCAGGGCAATGGTAGTTTTTCGGTGGATGTTTATATGCTATAGTTGAACCTTTAAGATAAAAAATATTTGAAGAAAATGTGTATCATTTGGCAGAAAGCAATTACAGTTATCTGCAGGTAATACAATTTAGAGCAGATGCACTGGACTAACTTATAACAATATCTTTAATAACCATAAAGAATTGAATTATCACTGATTGGGAAAAACATGAATAGTATCCTTATAGACATATACGTAAAGCGTGTTGTTCTAATCGAATTCCTTTTAAGTGTTATTAAAACAATATTCGTAAAGATATTAAGATATTGTTTTATATTGAACATTTTTAGAGTATTGTGTATTTTGATAGATTAATTTACATCAATATATTTTATAATAGTCAGGAAATCAATTGCTTATATAAAAGAAATTCCCGAAAAAATGCTTGTCTTCAAAGGCAAAATACATGTTTACTTTCTACGGAATCTGAATATGAAGCTGAAGTTTTCCAATGTTGACTGATTTGTCCGATACAATGAGGTTTGACTCTTTCATAATCAAATATACTGATAATTGTTGAATTCTTATAAAATGAAGTCTATTTAAGCAATACAAGTAACAAACACGGAAAGTGAGTATTAATTCAATAGCTGTACCTTGGCGTGTAATTTTGTTTAAAGTCAACTTTACGTATCCGTCCACTATACCAAAAGCATAGCGCTCTATATAGCGAGCATTTGGCAAGTTGTGTATGTATGGTGAGAAGTCAGCTTCGAAGTAGATATTCATGATGTTATAGTCATTCTGGTTAACCCAAATCATATCTATTATGTGGTTATCTGGAGACGAGGAGTCTGTCGTGAAGCGGTACATTTCTTTTCCTGAAGACCTTTCCTTCATTAGAAGAAAGGCACTGCATCTCAACATTGTCGGAGACTCCCGTACTTAAATGAAAACGCAACAAATATTAAAATATATGCATACAATTTTTAGTATTTCAATAAGTATCTTTTCAGAAAACGATTTTTTTTCCTATTATATCACATAGCCCAACCACATGAGTGCTTTATATACAGTGCATGTGGTAGTAACAAAAAGAGTTATCCATATGCATCATAGCGTTGATCAATTTAGTCCTTATTGATGTAATTACGATAAAAAAAAACATCCAGGTGCCAAACCATGCAAAAAAAGATACTGTTTGCCGAGTGACTTAGACAAACGACAGTTAAATGTAATTAGAAATGTATATAGTTACACAAATAAATTTACAATCTATACGTACTTATTATTATTAACAAATATTCCCAAACACTAACTAAAATAATCGCTACATGTGAAAGAGGACGGAAGAGGAGAAAATGACTTTGGTTAAAAATTATTATTTAGCAAGTTTTAGAACACCTATTTGAACTGTGATTTGTATGCAAGCTATCCTTCCTTCAATTATGACGAATGAAGAAATTTTAAAGTTTGCGACTTATCGTGGTTGTAGGATGAACAGAATATATTTTTTTGTTTCCATTTCATATGACAATATGAAATTTATGAAACATTTCTCGAAAATTTTATTCTAGCATGCTCACGGAATTGGAAAATACATCTTCGATAGTTTGATAAATTTCATCTAAAAAGGAAACTTAGAGAATATCTACTGTATATCATGAAGTTGTCATCGAATTTTCATTTTATTTCAGAATATTTTATTGTACAGATCTGAAGTACCATCGGGAATGGGCAACAGGCATAACAAAGCCCTCTCCTTACACTTTATAAAGGTACACATCATATTTATAGTGAATGTATATTATCGTTGATTGTTGACCAACAGACCACGACATGCAACAACCAAACATCCATTGGAGAATAACAAAAACCATTTCAATAGAAACTAATAGAAACATCTCGCGTCTCTAATGTAACTCTGAACCAACTCCACAATATTTGTATTCGTATTATTGTCCCGTGTTTGGAAGCCAAACAAAAGGTTTGAGTATTAAAAAAAATAATGAAACATAGTGCAGAGAGGGAGTTAAGTAAAAGTTGTCTTTGATAAGTATAAAGATGGAGAGTGGAGGGGAAATTGATCATAGGTAGCAGAGTACAGTACAAATGGCTTGATCCTAAAAATAAAAGGCATATCTCAGATAAACATGGATAGCGGTTTTATCTTGCACAACACACCTACATATATGTATATATATTTATAAACTACATGTTGAATAAAAAACTTTTAGAAGAATGATTTTTTTTTCAAAAAGTGATTTCCCCAGATTTGGGACCTGTGAAAACATTGTTTACCACATTTTAAACCAAAATTTGACCCACGCAAGTAGTAATTTTTCTCTTAAAACCTGACTTAAACTGAATATCACCTACTCGGTAACAGAAATACTCACGTTTTAGCAAAGGACGTTTAACTGGATTTTTCACAATCTTTACACATGTGCTGAGTACAAAAATAGACTACATGAAAAGCTAGCTTTTGTTGTGTAGACAGAGATTTGTAAATGGCCAAAAATGTTGTCTGAAACCAAATTCGATTTTTTTTTTAAATGTGAATCCCACAAAGTCCACTACATCATGTATTTGCCAATTTTAGTGCTGATTTTTTTTTTTTTTAACTTTGATACATGTAATATTACATGGGTTATTCATTGTACAAAAATATCACACACGGCCACTGTACGCTACTGTACACTGCTACCTTATAAATAACTTTCTTTTCCTAAAATTTTAGTTAAAACCTTTTAAATGTTTGAAATATTACACTATGAACAAAACGATTGATCCGTTTCCTTTCTCACTTTAAGTGTAACCGAGTAGTAAGAATTCTCTTGACAGGTGAATTTTTATCAATTCTGCTCTCGAACTACTAACAAAGGGAGGTAATCTGAAAAGTGAAATATGATGCGTTGAGATTATGTGTATGTGAAAAACAAAACAGTACAGTGATACTATGATGTTTCTGTCTTGTTTGATGACGTCATAGTAACTGTGATGTCATCATAACTATGACGTAATCAATGGACATCTATGTCATCATCAAGGCTCACTGAATTCAAAATGAATACTAGGAAACCCATCACAACAACAAACTAGCAACAGACACACTTCCGGTAACCGATGAACAGCACCAAAATGTCAGATATTCTGAAAAATCAGACAAGTGCCACCATAGCAACAGTTATTTACTTTCCTTGCCTAGAATTTTCTATGTATTTTTCGCTATGGGAGTTTTTCCATCGGCGATTTTTTTATGTTGTTAAATATAGTACGGTCCACTAGTACCAGTCATAGACATATTGCTGTGTACATACGGTAAATAATCTGCGGGTTCCACCTGGGAGTGTAGGTGCCAATGAAAATTCAGCTTGCCTGTCACAGAGAGGCTAGGCTTGGCGTAGTACCTGACGCTGTCTACGTCCATTCAACAGCTAGCTTTGAAATAAGAACAGGTTGCGAGAACTTCCCAGGGGTGAATGTTATGCATAAAACCATTATTGTTTGTTACATGACAAGCTAAGTAGCAGCCTTGGGCATTTTTTCTATATTTTAACGAAAGAACGTTCTTAGTGAAATTCACTCGCTGAACCATGCGCTATTTGTAAGGGACGTGAGTGTGTAATTTACGAGCTGGAAAATTAATGAAAGCTATCTGGTTTCAGTGTCATTTATGAACTGTTCTAGACTGTTAGGCATATGCTTAATGGTTGTAATATATTGTCAATATGTAAAGATTGTTTCAAGGGTAATTTCACAAACCGGAAGTTCGAATATATTTGATACCGGAAGTACCCCTAGGGTTGTTGACCTTTTATAGTTCGAGTGATGGGGACCATGTCGTTGGGGACCTGTAGCCAGTGTGGGGATGGGACGACACGAAAGTGACTGCACCCAGGTCATAACAACTTCTATATACTTCCGTGGTCACGGCTGCTCGTCACGGACTCTTCTCAGAAGGCTCAGACTCTTCGTGGAGACGTCACAGTCACGCCACGACAGGGATGAGGAAGGGCCTGGACACTCAAACGACTTTTGAGGAACCCCTATGACTTCAGAGACAGTGTGAGTCTACATCACATCCATCTGTTACTTCGTTATGAACATTGGAGCACTTATGCATTGTGATATCACTTGAATAGAACATTTACGGGACCTACATTTACTGTACAGTGGTGAAATTAGTGGAACCAACTATCAAGTTTATCAGTGTGAATTACTTCATAAGTGAAGCATTATATTCAGGAAATTTACATAATTAAAACATTGATAACATTCTAGTTGTGGACTTTGAAACTTATTATTATTAAGGGTGTGTCAAGAATACTCGATTCTAGTCATGAGTGTGTATGCTGATGCTGTATGGTAATCAGTGTGCAACAGAGCTTTTGATCGTAGTGCGATTACCAATAGGTTATAGTTACTTGTATAGGAGGTATCTCAACCGTTATCTCTAACTAAGGTTTTCAGAGCTGGAGCATGAGTCATGTATTAAGGGATACACTCGCTATATTGTGAGATTTTGAACGCCATCTCTAGTTCGTACTGTCGCTCATTTAGTTTGACTTGCGACGAGACGTTCTCAATATTATAATTGCGATATACAGACGGACATCATATAATGTTATCCCCATTATAATTCATATCATTTAAATCACCAAAAAGGGGAACTTTTCTGTTTTATTTTCTGTTGTATGTTTGATGATAACATTTGGATCATTTGGCGTTGATTAGTGATGTCAGTAGTATTCAAAGCGGGCAGTATTACATTGGCTTTTCAGGGTTACTCTCTAGTTCGTGACATCATTTCATGACGTTTCGGAGTCAGTTGGGGGTAATTCACGAAATGAACGATCGACATCCGGGCTTTGTAGGCAATTTGTATGCTGCGTAATGTGTATCAATCAAATTATGATTTCATCTCAAATGAATCATAATTGCCTTTAAACAGTCAACTTTTAATTTCAAATGATACATTCTACATACTTTACAGTCACGTTATAAAATACAAAACGATCGTAATCGCGTAGATCTGATAAAATCTTCAGTGCAGTTATGTTGTGCTAAAAGAAAGAAAATATTACCTTCCAGGCATGTTGTTCCACCAAAACCATCCTGGCATTGACAATTATCCGGAAAGGAACATATTCCAGGGAAGCATGGCTTTAAATATGAGCAAGTTACTACAATAAAAAGACCAATTGAATAAACACTCGTTTCTGAACAAGCAAAGGCAGGGACATTTCTCCCTTCAAAGGCGTTACAGGAAAGTGGAACATTCTATCAACATTGAAACGAGTAAATGTTTTACGGGCATATTCTGCTCCTCATGCTAAAATAGCTTTTTTGAATCTCGCCCAAACAATTGTATTAACAGCTTATTAACCAGACAACCAAATTGCAGGAAATGTCTTATGCTTGAATCTATGAGAACGCGAGAGTTTACCAGTGTCTCAAACTATCTATGGATAACGATAAGGTAATGCATTGTTACACAAGCCTGATTATCATGAGATAATTCAACAGCTTATTTACTCACTTTGTTCACAGGCCTTTCCTACTGTTCCTTCAAGACATCGGCAATAGTTCGGAGACACACATCTTCCAGAGTTTTTACATGGAGGGTTGCAGACGGCTGTAACATGTATTCCCATTTTTATTATATTTATTAGTTTTATTGTTTATTGTAAAATCATTATGATTAGTGTAAGTATTATTGATTATTTTTATATAAGAATATACTATCTTAATCCAGAGGCATCCTGCGTCATTATAAATCGGTGAGTGTGTGTTACATAACACGCTGACAACACATGTGGACTTAGAATTGTATTAACCTCACGTTGTGGCCACGACAGTCAGGGTCCATACCTCGAGTAGGCCCTTATTGTAAGATCTGTTTTACAGTTCTGAAACACGACATCAAATATACTTGCACACATATTGTTTACAGTTACAACATCAAACATATAGTTCTAAAGCACACCACGGGCTCTAACCGGGCCATCCCAGGCCCCTCCGGCCGAGGACTTCCCTAGGCCCGATTTTTCCAGATTCTTCTTAAATCTTTCCCAAGTTCTTTTAACAATATATACAACATTATCTATTCATGATTCCGGTACCACCTCTTGTTCATATATATAATTAGGCACGTGCAACAATTTCATCAAACTTCTAATCTAATCTAATCTATCAAATCAACAATACTTAGATATACCATATGGCAATGACAGTTCACACACTCGTTCCTATCTCTATGTCATTCATGACGGATCTGGTCGCCACTAAATGGATAACCCTACAGCACTATCTACAATTAAACAGTCCCCAGTCAATCAATGCACGGTGTTACCTAAATCGTTAGATTTGACCTCAGATGTACTTTTGACCAAAGTGCTGCTCTCTATTGATACCAAATATCTTGCATGCATGTTATGAGATAGTTCCATTCTCTCTCATTAATTAACTTGTTTTCAGCCCATTTTGTTACATATGTTGTGATAATTTATGATCTAGTCATAAAATGAGAACTACATTATTACGTATGAAGGCAATATATGTATGTGAGAATATCTATGTGGTAAGACAAAGGTAACATCCACAATGAAATTCACATGGACGTTAAATACAGTAACAATTTGTGCGATAAGCTTTATAATATTAATTTTCGATCGTGTACTTTCCTTTACTTGGGAGAAGCATCCCTGCTTCCTCAACTAAAGTAATTACAAATCGCAGTTGATGCTCATGGACTCGTTCTAGAAATTACGACTTCCCTGATGGATGGTGACTTCTTAGTGACGTGCTTTTACTGTCTGATACTAATCATTCGGATTATATAGATGCATAAATGATTCGTTTACTGCCTTGACAATTCATATAAAATTATTTTAAATAGATCTGTTCTTAAAAGATGAGCCTAAAACACACATGGAAACAGTACGCCTGAAACATATTGCATTGCACCATACAGCTGTGTCGTCATTCTATGACTCATCCATGATGAAAGGGTTCAGAAAATTAATGATACAGAAGAGGAGATGTAAAATGAAACCCTTTAAATATTTTAACTTCACAACGGTAAGAGGAATTCTGGTTACTTTCAAATTAAATATGAATAGAGTATATTTATTATGTCCCTTGCAGAAAAAATAAAAATATAAAATTGGCCTAAGCTACTATTGAAACATGACTTCAAAATCCTAATAAAAACCCAGAATGGCATTATAAAAACATATTATTAATGAAGCATACAGGGAAACAGAAAAGTAAATAACAGTACCAAATTATATTTTCCAACCTTGGAAACAATTGGAGCTCACAATGTTGAAAAGTAAAACTTTGTACATGTGACAGTAGCTCTATCGAAAGTGATCCAGTCACTTAGTCGTGTTAACATTACTTCAAGCGGGGATGGCACTGCATTAGAAATGCATGGACATTCAGAGAGATACGAATGAGTTAAAACAATATATTTATTATAATGATATTAGGTTCATTCATATCCCTAACACTTACATTGCACAATTATAGAGTATGTCAAACCTGTAAAAGTGCATCGTTTCTCCCTGTTCCTGCACTTTTGATTTAACCATACAAATCGTAAGTTTGTTACGAGTCCAGGTGTTACAAATACGTGCCCACACATATTAATTCACATTATACAACAGTGTGTAGACTGATGATCATTTCTTGCTATTTTGACAGCGTCGTATGATAAAGAATAGCAAACACCTTCGTTCGATATTATGCATTTGAAATATAACCGTTTTGCTTCATAGAAGATTTTACAACCAATAATCTAATATTATTTTTCCTATTGTATTGTACAATAGAACAACATACAATAAGCAGGATATACAATAGACAATAGAGTTAACATTTTAGGACACAATAACTCAAGTTTTGGAACCATCAAAATGTCTACATCAGCCACCAAACGATTTTGCTACTTTATCTGGATAATATTTTATATATGTTGATCACCTTACATAACATATTTGACAATTTAATTCCGTTATTTTAAATATGTAATCATCGTGACTATCCAAGGTGATAAGCTACTTCTGACTGGCTCCTGAGTAGCCACTTAAAGATTACAAGTAAGATTCATTAGCACCCACAGTGTATGTTAATGCTTAGAAAATGGAAGTGTATGATCGTTTATCAATAGTCGTCACATTAGATATATATTATAGTACATTATAAATAAATTGCTTCACATATTTTTGCGACCTAGATAAAGGGATAATATCACAACGCAACATAAGAAGCTTGCAAAATAATCAATCACATACGTGTATTACAGTCGTTGCCTCTGTAGCCAGGACAGCATCTGTGTCCTATTTCACGACTATACCTGTCGACATATTTGTGATGCCAGCTGCAAAAAAGGGACATTAAATACATTTTAAAGCAGATTGTAGATCAATAAAAAGGTCTTTTTGTAACGGTGGCTGATATGAGTACCTTAAATTATACAGCTAATTAATGTTATGAATAACCCGTTCTAACCTATTTTTACAGATCCTGGAATCCTGCTTCTCGTGGATAGACAACAAATGGAATTTCCCCATACACTCAAAACATTTGGTGTAAAAACTAACATTAGACTGTTCAACCTATGCCAATGGTCAATTTCAATGTGTGCAACACAGCTTAAACCAACACAAACAATGTTGTTTTTGAAGTGAGGAAACTCTTTGTAGTTGTTAGGTCCTTTTTTTACAGTTTGATTAATAAATGTTTTCACTTGTGTTTTGTGATTTTACCAATTTTTGGAAAAATAAATGAGCACACACTGACATCGGATTAGACATATCTGCCAAAAATAAGGTTCATTGCAAAAGTGAAGAAGAGAGAAAAAGGAAAAATTGCATTTAACTCTACTGGTCTCATAACAATGTTTGATACAGGAGGTCCAGTGTCTTATCTTTATTTTATAATCCATATATCAGGGGAAATCCTGGGATTTGAGAGCAATGGGCCATTTTTAGCATATTTAGAGTCAAACTTTAGAAGGGCCTTTCTATGTAAAATTAAAAGAATATTGAAATATGGAGGAGTCAATTTCAGTTCTTGGGGTCAAATTGGTTCCATGACCTTCCAGGATTATCCCTGTATATTCTGATTCATAAAACCCGTTTTAATCAATTCTTGTCATCCAATTTCACCTGACATTTTGTTTAACCAATTAATTTATGCTTCAGCAATGGGTAATATAACTTCCATTTACCTCACGTTCAATGTAGCAATTACACCAAAGACAGGAAATATATGAATTGTGATATAATTAACTATATGCAGTTTTGGTAGTTATACATTTTTAATTTATGTATGAAAATAAGTATTTGGTGAAATTAATGTTAATAATCTGTTGAGCTTTAAAAATGCTAAACATGCCAGATTTAACACAAATAAGTAATTGACCTTTGTTGAAAAAGTAAATTCGTACTAAAATAGAACAAAATTTGTAACTTTTTTGAAAGTACAGAAATAAATGGTTCATAATTATAAAAGCAAAATATTTGCTTGTGCCATGTTCAGCTTTTAATTTTAATCATTACAATGAAGCAAATATACACAATCAAGGCGCTCAATGATGCACGTAGGTAACTTGTATCTGTCGCTCCATGTTGCTTGATGGGTGTGACATTGTATTTAGTACTACGTTAGTGCCGGGAAAAGGTTTTATGAAGACCGAAGAGCAGACGAATTTGTCCAACAGAAAGTTAGAAACTGTTGATTATTTAGGCTTCAAACGTTTCGTTTATTGACACTGCCTTTTCTTTAGAGACCGTGAATTATAAATATAAATGTTGGCCACATAACGACTCGCGGTGTACGTGACTACGCATAGGTACCCCGAACATGTCAAAATACAAAATGAAATAGGCGTACTGCAGTAAGCAAATAAATGCCACATGCGATAGTGTTGCTCAATAGACAGTTATCTACCATAGAATGGTGAATATACGGACATAGGTTTGTCAACAAAGTGAAATGGACCGAAACGTTAGTCGGAAAATTGGGTTTCAACCTCCTAAACTGTTCTTTGTCAAATTCTGCATCAAACTCGAATACATGGCAGCCATCTTTGTTGATTTAAGGAAGGTTTTACGTTAAGGAAGCTTCATGAAACGCAATTTTATTTAAGTTAAGGAATTTCCTTATATTTAAGAAAAAGACGGTTTAAGGAGCTCCTTAAAGTTAAGGAACGTTGTGAAACCGGGGCCAGTACCTTTACATTGAGTAGGTTATCACTTACCAGATTCCCCAACGTTGGTCACATATTCTTGTTCGATGTCGTGTTGCATACGTGTAAGGGCACGTTGACCTATTAACAAAAAAACTCATGATTAAAAAGACCTTGTCTGTCATTAAAATAATAGCTCAATTGTACCATACATACATTCAAACCAAAAAGGTATATCGGAGTCCAAAACTGAAAATCACCAAAGTTATATATTAGATATACACGTACAATAAGAAACATCGATCGATGATGCAGAATATAACAGAATTAAGTACTTTTGAAACATAATTAAACGTAACACGAAATATCTACAATCCTCAAAAACCTATGGCCAATCAGCAGTAACATTAATGTGCGATGATCGAAAATACACACAAAACACATACCTCACTTATACGCAGGACAATGCGAATAAACGCGCTGTTATGTGGTGTAAGTGATTTAGGAAACAGTCTTAACCAAAGTAGAAAAGGACATTCCCTCAGAATAATTAAAATAAAATCAATTGGAATGTTTGAGAGTCGATAACTCGTAATCAGATTGTAACATACTTTATTTCTATTACAAATGTACTATGAACAGGGATGCCACCGCACAAGATTGTTATACCCGGCGATGTGCAATAATTGACGAATCACGAAACAACCTGATCAAATCCATTTCAAGATAAAGAATCTTCATTTGCGTTAATACTTTAGAGATGATAGCACTATTTATAACAAGAAGTCCAGTAATTAAAACCTGGATTGTCGCCAAAAGATAGCAATACAAAATACGCAGGTACACGTTCCGAACCAGACACCGTTAAAACAAATTAAAATATGCTAATGTTGTCCCTATATATAAAGGTAAAGGTCAAAAGTGTGATCCAACTAACTATAGACCAATCGCTATTACTCCAATATTTATTAAAATGTTGGAAAAATCATTTTTAAATACTTATACAATTATCTGTCTTTAAATATCATAATATCAAAAAAATCAATTAGGTTTCTTACCTAATGACTTATTGACAGGGTGTGGCATAGAGGATTAATATACAAATTGGAGAAATATGGAATTAAGAATAATATGTTGGGGTGGTTCAAAAATTATGTCAGTGATATAAAACAAAGAGTAATATATGATGGTTTCCATTCTACTTGACAAACGTTGAAAGCTGGGGTTCCTCAGGGCTCGGTCCTAGGACCATACTTATTTCTTTTGTATATTAATGATCTGAAAAATGAGATAGGATGTAATATAAAATTCTTTGCTGATGATACTTCATTATACATAATATCAAAAGACAAAGCCTTAAATGAGCGAAGCTTTTGTTGATCTCTGATATTTACTGCTTTCAGAATGAGGCAAGATAAAATTTATTTAAAGTCGGCTAGTCGAGGGATATCAATAAAACATAAACTCTAATGAGATTAAGACCGACATAACAATAGGGGAGATCGGGGCAAATTTGTACCATTTTCATTAAAGTCCGTTCTGGGAAGTATGGCAGCACGTCCGTTTTTGAACATTATTTAATTTTCCCTGTCGGATGATCGGATGGCCGAACGAGCCCCGCAATGGGATAAGTTCGGCCAGGCATTCGGGTAAGTTCGGCTCCATTGGAATCAGCTTTTTATGCGTTACATGGGCCGAACTTGCCACACGGTATCATTGGCCGAAACCGTCCGGGCCCAAATTGATATTTCAATAAATTCTTATCGTACAGCAATATGGTAGTGAGTGCTTCGCCTTGCTTTTATGTTTATCATTTGAAGCTGTCAATGTGTCACACGTTTGACCTTAAAACAAAAGCAATTCCGTTTACAAAAAGTTCGTATAACTAGAAGCGAGATCATGATTTTCTTTCTATCCTCTCAAAAGTAATTTTCTCCTGTTTAGTAATTTTTCGTGTGAATGCACAGCCAACTAAACTGCTAAGATCTAATGTGTCCTTCAAATAGATCATAAATACCATACAAAAACAGTTCAACACTTATATTTACGTTTTCTCTGCCTCTTATGTCGTTTTTTAACTTAAAATTTATATTTAAAATTAAAAATGCCAGCCTTATCGACAGTCCACACAATTTTGTTCAATAGTTTGAACAGCGTATTGTCGCGTGCTGATTGGCAAACAAAGTAGTACTTTGAAATTTAAACAAACACTTCAATTTTATTCCACAATTCAGTATCAATACAATTGAGTATGATATGTCTATAGGGTGATTTAAGTTTATCAATAGAACTCTGAGCTGAAAGTTAGATTTGAAATTGTTTCGATTTTTCCCCGGAACAAATTTCGCGCATGGACAAATACAGTGAACACCGTAAATCCGACCTTGCCCTCCACGAGAGAGTTATTTTTGGAAGTTAATTCGAACGTTTCTCTTTGCTAATTTTGTGAAGAATCCAGGCGTGAATTTATTTGTTGATTGTATGGGAACCTGACAACAGTCGGTAGATTCTATAACATACTCGTTATTTGACATGTCGTCAGAAACTGAGGAACCGTCCGTGGATGCGAGACGCGTGAAACTGATAGCGTTTGAAGAGAGTGATCTTGTGACGGAGCACAGGTTCGTTACAAATGTCTGAAATGTTTATGTGTGCTGTGACTCATATCAGTAGGTCTGTAACATATGTGTCAGTAGGTCTATAGAATATGTGTATTTCAGACATTTGTAACGAACCCCTGTTGATCAGTGCAGTGTAACAGACGATATTTCTGATAAATTGCATGAGCGTTAAAATTGTTTCCATTGCCGGCATTGGTGATTTCAACCGATGTGCATTTTGTACGATATTGCAGACCTTGGTCTTGTTTTCGTTGTAATAAAAGTGTTTTTTATTTTATTTTTTATTTTGCACATAAATTTACAATGACATTGTCAAATCTCACAATGCTCAGCGATATTTCAGCAGCCGTCATGTTTATTTATATTGGATATTGTAGTTCCGGTCAGTGTTGTATTAATACGCTAAGAATTTTGTCTCGTGATGCATGGTAATTAAAATCCCATCAACGACACAGCTTTCAAATAGGCTATATAGTGACAATGCCATGCAAATGTAAATATAGTATGATAATCTCTGAGCGACGTTTCATGCCTGCTAGTATCAAAATTTATGTGATCGATTTTTTCACTCAGAATGTATATTAGTTTTTATCTAAATTAATAAGTAATAAAACATGGGTATTGTTTTCACTATATGAAGATGTTCATTTATGGGTTAAAACACAATTGTCTTTGCTTCAAGGATACACTTCCGGTTTCCCCACTGGACGTCTACTTCCGGACGAAAAAAATTAAAGGCAAAGTGTAGAAAGGGGACGCAACTCTGTGTACGCGCGCATTTGTTACCATTTAAGAGCTTCGCTCGGGCGCCTTTGGCGCCCGAGAGCTACGCTTCCGGTTTCCCCACTGGACGTCTACTTTCGGACGAAAAAAATTAAAGGCAAAGTGTAGAAAGGGGACGCAACTCTGTGTACGCGCGCATTTGTTACCATTTAAGAGCTTCGCTCGGGCGCCTTTGGCGCCCGAGAGCTACGCTCTTAATAATAGACAATAATCAACAGCAAGCAGTAGAAAATATTTGAGTAATTAGTTATATGTATATTTTAAATATTTAATTTCCATGCTTATATCATTCTGTTCATATGAATATATGAATCCAATTACACTAAATCTACAAATACTTCCATCACTGATGGGCTGATGGTTTCGTAATGACACCAGGGTAGTCTGGATTGAAGATATATAATTGGTGCTTCTAAACGGCGAGTTTCATTTTATAAATTATTTGTAGTTTTATCTCTATGTGTGTATGGTTTTTCGTTAATTTTATTGTCTATATTGTGGGTTTTGTTTACGTCCAGGTCGAATTATGTAAGTCCTGCGCTCGACACGCAATATATATCGGGGTGCTGCCTGCGAGGTATGATAGATACAAGGCCCCTGCCAACATTGACAATACATTGACTTTGATTACGCCGTTGAAAATCATTGCATGAAGATCTACGCAAAATATAAAAATGTGCAAATGATTGGGGTAAACTTTTCAACCCAGACAAAACTGAATCTTTAATAGTATCTAAGAAAACCACTGCAGTTAACCTACATCCACACCCAGTATTTAATAAAATCCAGGTAAGTAATATTACAAACCACAAACATCTAGGGGTTTATTTAAATGAACAAGGTAACTGGACACATCATATAAACTTTATTTTTGAAAAGACATCTAAAAGAGTAAATGTCCTAAGAATGTTAAAATATAAAATTTGTAGAAAGGCACTTGAAATATTGTATACTACACTTATCAGACCTATTCTAGAGTATGCTTGTGTTATATGGGATAACTGTACAAGACAAGAAAAAGATCTCTTGGAATCTATCCAGCTTGATGTTATTAGGATAATTACTGGTCTAAGAAAAGGCACTAGCCATTGTATAATATATAAAGAAATAGGGTGGGAAAGTTTACAGAATAGGAGGGATAAACATAAACACATCTTCTTCTTTAAAATAACAAACAAAATAACCACAAACTATCTACATGAAATTATTCAACCATATATATTAAACCCAGAAGGAAATACACACAATCTTAGGCACTCAAGAAGTTTCAATGTGCCTCTTCCTAGAACCACGCTATATGCTAATAGCTTTTTTCCCAGTATGATGAACATATGGAACAGTGCCAATAATAACTTTACTAATATAACAAATATGATTACTTTTAAAAGGGAAATACAAAAGATAATTTTAGGGGACACAGAACAAAATGTATGTACACCTGTATTTAAATACTCTGGTTCACGAAAAAGTAATATATTAATGTGTCAATTATGAAATGGTGCTAGTCAACTTAACTATGAACTGTTTAAAGATCACTTGAAAAATAGGCCAAACTGTCCCTGTAGTCGCCCAATAGAAAACTCTTATCATTTCTTTTTTGAATGTCACTCTATACTGATGAACGACAAACTCTTATGCAGGATCTTATATTAAATGATGTAGATTTCCATAATACAATATCTTTAAATACTATTCTAAATGGTAACACTAATGATATTGATTTACAGAACAACCAATTGATGGAGTGTGTGCATAAATACATAAATGCTACAGGACGGTTCAAATAGATTAAATTAAGTTAAATACGCAAGCTGTATGTGGTTGATGTATTGTTTTGTATTCTGTAAGATATATTCATTATCTCTGTTGATAGTGAATACTTTATATATTAATTATATATAATATACCAAGGTTGATTGATCACCGGGCAACAAATGTCCAGGGACTTTTTGTGGGCATGGCCCACTTGTATAAAACGTCTCAACTCTTGAGATTTCCTCAAGTCTAAGATTTCCCATAGACAATACATTGCTTGAGATTTTCCTTAACTTTGAGATGTTTTATACAAGTGGGCCCATGACACTTAAGGTTTGATAGAGTAATGTAAATCAATAGTTATAATCTATTTAATTATTGAAAAACTAATAATTAATTTTGAAATAACAAAATGCCATATACTTTGTTATCATATTTAATGCCAAACTGCACATAAATTTAAAATATATATAAACTACAGTAAATAAACCAACAAACCCATGCCAGTAGAAACAAATGTGGTGTTAGAGTGTATGAGTGAGTGTTGGAGATTATTTTGTGTTCTTATATAATTATTTATGTTTTCTTTTTGTGTTTTCATTTTTTGTTTCTTTTTTCTGTTTTCTTTTAGTTCATTTTCTATTTGATTTTCCAACTCATCTCAAGGTATCTACTTCAAATAAGTCCTAGTACATTTCTTTATCAGCATACATGCATGTATCAGTTTTGCTTTATTTCATGTTGCCGTAGCAAATTTTAAGTGGCTCAAGGTCAAGACGTATATCTATATATTTAATTCAATATGGAATACTGTGTATATCCATAACGGTATATTTAATTCGTATTGACACAAATATTACAACTATATTAAATATCTATATCGCAAAGTTTGTAAAAAAATAAAAAATAAAATTGTATTGATTTGTTTATCTTAAGTCCATGTATCACGTGAAATAATGTAATTTTGTAGAAACATGAAAATATTAATCCAGCCTAATTATTGTATATTACCTAGCAATAAATGTATCCAAGTAGCATGAGATGAGTTGAAATATAATGTATGTATGTAAATATTGTATTCAATGTCTTCAAATATCAGAAGTATGCTGGAAGCCATGGAGAGAGCTTATATAGGCAAAGCCTGTTGCTCAATCCTTTTGTTTAATCAATAAAATATTTTGGTATTTTTTTAAAAATACACAGTATCATGTATAAGTACACATAACGGAAAAATATTCCAAAAATATGCAGTATCACGTATAAGTTCTCATAACGGAAAACAAAAATATATACCCGACAAGTCAGTCGCAACAGATAACCATCAGATGCTGTTTTCAGTGTAACGTCATTAGAATGATAAACTACAACAACTATTATTTTGTTTCAATATTCTAATGAGTAGCAGACCTCCAACATTAAGTTCTGACCATAGTGCAGTGTATCGTTTACGTCAAGGCAAAATTAAAAAAATAGCAAGAAACCATCTGTCTTTAGTGTACTACGGTTACATGTTTTAGCAGGCAAACATATATGTAATTGAATGTCATAGACTTTATAAGTATAGTTGTCATATTTATAAGTATATTTTTTGTAACTATTCATCAACACGGCAAGAATGCGTTCTTATTTCCTTTAACGCAATGCACGTTATTTCAATTTATGATATTCATTATTTGTCTCTGCTCCTCTGTTTCCAATTCATATCTTTTATATCGAGTAACACGAAATAACTACAATCCATGCATATGCATTGACTAAGAAGTTTCTTGTTTCCTTGAAAAAAACTATGGCCAATCAGCAGCAACATTAATATGGTGAAGAAAAATACACACAAGACACATATCTCATAAATAAGCAGAACATTGCGAATAAACAAGCTGTGATGTGGTGAAAGTGATTAAGAAAAAAGGTCTTAAACAAAGCAAAATAAGACATTCCCTCAAAATAATCAAAATAAAATCAATTGAAATGTTTGAGAGTAGATAACTCGTAATCAGATTATAACATACTTCATTTATTCTTCACATTTTTTACATATTATTGTGTGGAAGTTTAACGCTCACAAACTATTAAATCAAATATTTACCAAAACCAATTTAAAACAATCTTTGTATAATTAAGACTATAACTCAATTTATAAAAGGTTCATAACTTACCCGTAGCAAATACCACAACTAAGTCCTGCTATCAGCAGGATAAAAACAAGTGTTGTTTCCATTGTCGTTAATACCAGCACTGTGAACCGGAATGCCACCGCACAAGATTGTTATACCCGGCGATGTGCAATAATTGACGAATCACGAAACAACCTCATCAAATCCATTTCAAGATAAAGAATCTTCATGTGCGTTAATACGTCAGACTTGATAGCACTATTTATAACAAGAAGGCAAGTATTTATAACCTGGATTGTCGCCAAAAGATAGCAATACAAAATACGCAGGTACACGTTCCGAACCCGACACGGTTAAAAAGAAGACAAAACAGTTGTATTGAAGACTAGCGAAGTTTATGACAGCAGAGGAAACGATGAAAGATGAGCAAGACATTACAAATAGGTTTTTTTAAGGAAATATAAAATGTTTGTATCAATAAAATGGATTAATCCAAAACACAATAAAGTTGTCCACAGCACAGATTGTTTTAATAAATGATGACAGACACTTTGTAATCCAGTGCCAATAAACTACGAAAACGTTTCAAACAAAAGGGTTGGAGTTTGGGTTACTAGATCATACCGCAAGATCTGTTCCTCATCATGATAAGCAACAATGCCATTTTGTGTCTTGATCTCTATGTCTTACATACTTCCTGGATGCAAGATATATAGCATTTAGGAAACCCACACATGCTGCAATTAATATTTAGGACCACCTGGTATTCGTTTTGCTGTTCATGTAATTTTGTGCCGTTTTCGTGTTATAGTTTTGCCTTTTGTAAGGCTTTTGTATTAATGTAGTTGTCAAATATGATTCGTGTGGACGAAATCATCTATCATAAACAAATGTTTTCCTTTAAATTTATCCATAATTTAATGTAACGACCGATGCGTCCTTGCAAAATGATGGTCAAGTTATCTAGGTAATACGACATGTTTGTTTTTTCAATAATATACATTGTGTATATGCCATTCTACAGTTTGTATCGTTCGATTTTGGGACTTGTGAATCACTTTGGTATAATAAACTACGTTTGTTATACCAGATTATTTTATTCACCGACAATGATTCAAATGCATTCTTTGATTGATAATCCATTGAAGTTAACCTTACAAAGCGTAGAGATATCGATAAAACAATCAGTCTGGTTTTGTTCAAACATTCGCATATTTTTGTGTATTCGTGGGCTTCAGTATCATAACTCTGTTGTTATACAGTTTAAACTTGAATTGCACATAAAAATAAAAATGTATGTAGGGACAGTAGAATGCAAATGATCGGAGGGACTACAAATTGCATTTGTCTTAGTTTATAGGAAGTGTCAATAACTTATAACTTATATCATACACACACACACATGCAAACAAATAAAAAAAAAAGACAATCTGGATGGGTAGGACTTTAATATGTAACATGCTAAGAAATCTCTTTATTTGCAAAGCCATATCTATACAATCCAAAGAAATGAAATAAGAAAAAACATTTCTTTCCAAAGTTTCCATTAGCATTTTACAGATTAGGTGACTTGTTGAGTTGTATTTAGTGATCGTAAAAATCAACCAGGTTAAACGTTTTCTTTATTCACAAGTAACATGGCCAACATATGCATATACTACGGATATGCCATGTAATCATGTTCTCGCCTTAATCCAAAAGACTTAAAGCATTGAAGAGTATCTATTTTGGCGGCAGATTACAGGTACAAAATTGTTGCCAGTTTGTCCAATGTCGTCGGTGGATTGCTGTTATCTGACTTCAAGATAAAACATGAACATTTATGAAAATACTTCGTTGCTGGTAAAATTCTATAATAAGCAGGTCATCGGTGTCTTCCTATAAGTGTTTCAGATAAAATAACCTGGATCATTGCCAAAGACACGAATACAATGTACATACACAGGTACACCTCCGAATGCCCGAATTTGTTTTAAAAAAATAATGATAATCTGAATAGCAATGGCAGTAATGAGACCATTTTGATCAAGAACTAACATGTCAATCACAGCAGTTTAAAGTTTAAGTGATATAACCTTAGTACATGGTGCTTTTACTATTGTAATAATATTATTGTGGGCGGATTGGTCGATTGATTAACACTCCTGCCTTCCACGCAGGCGGCCGGTGATCGACTGAAGTCGTCGTACGCATGGATATTCAGAGAAAGTGTTTTTATCCTGCCCACACAACTCCAACAAACCAGGTGGAGTATAAATTGGTCTAGTGTGGATGCTGCGGTATCTGTGCTGTAGCATTCAAGTGAGGTGGCACTATTAATGATCCCGTTGGAAGCACGGTCCCAATACAAACAGAACACATTACATCTTCAGCACACACGCAGGCATACACACATAGGGAGATATTAGACAGGTGGCATAGGTATAGTAGTTAGCGCCTGATAAGGCAGCTCCTGAGAATTACTCAAAACTGGTATTGATTACTGTATATGATAATTGTATTCAATATATATCTATGTACTGTCAAGCGATTTAGAGTGGCTTATGTTAGCTACATAGGGGGCTATATCAAATGCTGTATATTATTATAAGCATTAAACAAACAGATCACAGAAAATAACAGATCAAATCAAACTTGCATAGAACAAATGAGAATCTATGCGTTAACATGTGTAATACAAAACCATTCAAGGTTATGTCGAGTTTCTGGAATAACTATTACAGACACTGTGAGATTACTTATGGAAAACTGTACAGCAGTGAGCAATCATGTGCTACACATCTTTGATCAAAATCGTGCTTACCGTTACAATACTATACATACAAGTGAGCGGAACCATATTTGTCTGATTGATTCATACACATACGTAGTAACAGGTACCACTTGTAAACTGTCTTAAGAATATGACAGTTAGACTGCTGTGTATAAATTGTTACTGCAGACAGACCTAACCATTTCATTATTTCGAAGATTTCGACTTCATGAAAAACACGGTCGAGATATTGAAGTAGTCAGTCATCTATGAACTTTCTAGGGCGATGATAAAATAAACTTGCACCAAGGGTCGCGAGTTCGACTCACGTCACGGCACTGTGTTGTATCTTTGAGCAAGATACTTTACTCCGCTTGTTCCACTCTACTCAGCTGTAAATGAGTTCGTGGGTGGGCTCTGCTAGAACTGTAGAATGCTATCTGTGAAAAGGCGCCGAAATGGTAGCACCGGCTGTATGCTCCCCATGGAGTTGAGAAAGATATTGGCTGGTTGCAAATACCCTATAATCACGGATAACAATGTGTGAACCGCTTTGAGACGACCTACGAACTAGGTTATGATAAAGCGGTATATATGAACCTCGAATTATTATTATTATTAATATTATTATGAAGTGCGTTGTAAATTCAATAGTAAATAAACCCTCTAGATCATGGAGAGATCCAACATTGACAATCCACTCCATTATGATTGAAAAAAAGATAATCCAGCAATATTCTTTTTATCACTTTTGTCAGGTAATTGATGTCTGGAATTCCCAGAGGGGGCCTGATATTGATAAACCATCCTGGTATGTTTGTAAAGGCAGTAGAGGTATATAATCGATGTTCATTTGTTCAGGGGTAAAGGCACATGGAATGAAAGTGTTCGTGAACATATACCTCATTGAATACATATACAGATAGCCAGTGATATTTCCTTGGCAGTCGGTTGCTTCCAGCAAATGAAGCGTCCTGTTTTTGGACTAGTGACTTATAGATTATGTGTTGAAATACAAACCCATTGCTTGATATAAGGTTTTTATTTATACTCAAATTGACCTTGATGTAACATCAAACGGTCTGAAAAAACAACTTCTTCGAGATACCGGAAAACAGTGTATGGCATTTTGATGAAGATACGTACATGAATTTGCCTTTTTGGCCGATGACCTTTCTGTATAAAATGAATGTTACCGAGTTTGGTTGACAGGTTTCCTATATAAAGGTAAATTAACAAATCTGGTAAAGAATAAAACAATTAGTAAAAACAAAAGCTTCCCAAAAGAATACATTGAACTAAAAATCGAAAAACTACGGCAAACTATAACAGAATGAAAGAAAAGCATGACATCCATACAAAATTACAAGAATATCACGACCATGCGTTTCACAAGTGTGAGCGTCTTCTGTTTCATCGACGACATCCACTATATAAATCTAGGTCAAATCAAAGTCATATCACGTCCTGATATGGAGAAATGAAATACTGACAGCCAAACAGTAAAGAACAATCAAGAGCAAAGTAAATAACAACAACTTTCAAATTACATAACGAAATGGCATACACTCCTCACTTCTTCATATCCCGTTGAAGGGGCATCACGGTGAAGTAACTTTATTTTTTGTCTTTTTTTCAAATACTACATAAACATATCAAGTGAGACTCCTTATGGAAAATAACGATCGGATTTGGCTGAAATAGATTCATAAGAATGATTAAATCTAAGAAAATCATCGGCATTTCTACCTGTCTGACCAACGTTTTGTTCAGGGATTTCCCTCTACTGGCGCATGCGCATAGCACACCATTTCTTTGTAAACAAAATGACTGGCCGTGGAAGTAAGCGAAAGAAAAGTGTTGTACCGTGTCAGCTACGAAACGAAAAGTTGCCACATGGTCAAAAGATAGCGCAAGGAGTACGTTACGGAATCATTATTGCAGGTGGGCAGTATTCAAAGGATAAAATAACTGCCGTAGCAGTTAGTACGGTGCATGTATTCTTCCGGATAGCCGGTTAAGCTGAAATGGAATCGACAGAAATGCTAGCGCTGTTTATATTATGAATAAATATCTAAAACTATTAAGCTCGCTAGTATCTTTGTCTGAGTTTGAACACAGATGAACTTAGTTTAATATGTTAATGGGCATGTATTGGAGAGAGTTTACTTTGTGTTTCTATAATTATACAGTGGTTTATGCGAAAGGAAGGGATAAGTGACTGGTTAGTTTGATTTTTCCATGAGGCCCTCCAAGGGATAACTGTTGTGATGGCCCACGGCGTATTTTCTGGGTCACCGAGATACGTGTTATCGAAGTCCGTGGATTTACATAATTTATAATATTACCGGGTTCAATAAAATGGTATGATTTAATTATATTGCTGAATTAAACGATTATTTTTGTTTTTACATGCAAGATTTAAATTAGTGCTAATATGAATACCCGGCCTCCTCTGCCCCGGCAACATATAAAAAAAATCAGAAA